TTATAAAAAAAGATCCAGAATATTTTTTAAAGATTTATTTATTTATTAAAGATGGAATTACAGACAGATCTTCCATTTGCTGACTCACTCCCTAAACGACAGCCAGGAGTCAGGAGCTTCATCCAGGTCTCCCACATGGGTGGCAGGGGCCCAAGTACTTGGGGCATCTTCTGCTGCTTTCTCAGGTGCATTAGCAGGGAACTGGATCAGAAGTGGAGCAACTGGGACTTGAACTGGTGCTCATATGGGATGCTGGCATTGGAGGTGGTGGTTTAACCCACTGCACCACGATGCTGGCCCTCTTTTGTTGGTTTTGAGTAGTTATTACAGCCTGGCAGTATCTCATGTAGATTCTTTTAGGTATTACCAATGTTTTAGAACATAATGTACTTTTATCCTTTTTTATTCTAAATCAGGCAAAAGGTAAAATTCAAATGCTTAAGCCAGAAGGGTGCTCTTTGAGAATCTTTTTGCCTCTGAATCCATTTAAAAAGTCCTGTCAGGGCCGGCACTGTGGCATAGCAAGTAAAGCTGTCACCTGCGGTGCTGGCATCCCATATGAGCGCCAGTTTGAGTCTCGGCTGCTCCACTTCCGATCTGCTATGGCCTGGGAAAGCAGTAGAAGATGGCCCAAGTCCTTGAGCCCCTGCTCCCATGTGGGAGACCCAGAAGAAACTCCTGGCTCCTGGCTTCAGATCGGCGCAGCTCTGGCTGTTGTGGCCAGTTGGGGAGTGAACCAGTGGAAGGAAGACCTCTCTCTCTCTCTCTCTCTCTCTCTCTCTCTGCTTCTTCTCTCTGTGTAACTCTGACTTTCAAATAAATAAATAAATAAATCTTTAAAAAAAATTCTGTCAGTAATACTACAGTTTAAACTTTGCTTTGTTCACTTTCTGTATCTTGCCAATCTTTTTAAGCTACTGTAACTAAAAATGCTTCATTGTTTTAAATAATAGCAATATCCATTGTATGAAATAGCCAAAATAAAACTTTTACAACATAGTTATAAAAATTATACTTTTAAATTTTTTTATGACTCAGTAAGTTATGCCTGTTTTGGATTACTTTTAAATAACTTTGCTTTGGGGAGGTTTTATATAGAATTGAATATGTTTATAGCATTCTTGAAGATTATTCTTTTAAAGATTTGCTTTTCCCTCTTTTCCTTGCAGGAGCTGCTGCTCAAGAGGTTATCAAAATAATCACCAAACAATTTGTAATTTTTAATAATACTTATATTTATAGTGGCATGTCACAAACCTCAGCAACTTTCCAGTTGTAGAATAAGCACTTTGTGTAGTGTGTTAATGATTGAAGCTGTAATTGCCTTCAGGTTGTGCTCTTATCTGTAAAATTGTGCTAAAGGAAAGCCGTCAAATTGTTTCCTTAATAAACATTTTGTCATTTGTAATAATGTGGTCTTGTTCTTTGTTGGGAGCGGCAAGGAAGCAATCATTTTCCCAAAGAGTAAAAGCTATCCCTTTCCAGTGAAGTTCATTAACACTGATGGGCTTGCTCTGTCAAGGCTACTTACCATAGATATCTTTTGTGTTTCATCAGAAATAGGTTAAATATTTTTTTCTTACCATCTTAACGAATTTAAGCCATATGCAGATTGCAGCTATGGATGGACATTTAAGGACATTTGTTAAAGCGACTAGAATTTTTTTTTAAAGATTTATTTATTTACTTGAAAGGCAGAATTAGATAGAGCAAGATCTTCCATCCATTGGTTTATTTCTCAGATGGCTGCAACAGCTGGAATTGGGCCAGGCCAAAGCCAGGAGCTTTATCCGGGTCTCCCACATGTGTGCAGGGGCCCAGTGACTTGGGCCATCTGCTGCTGCTTTCCCAGACACATTAGCAGGGAGCTAGATGGGAAGTGGAGCAGCAGGGACTCGAACCTGCACCCATATGGGATGCTGGTGTTGCAGGCAGTGGCTTTACCCACTGGCCCTGTGACTATAATTTTAGAAAATATTTCCATTTGTGGAGTTTATCAGAAAATATCGCCATCCCTGTATGTGGTGTTATCTAAACTTGGGTTTTGCTGATTACACCTTAAAATTTATGTGGTCATTCCATCCATAGTACATAAAAGCTCAAATTTCACTTAACTGGGGGCAGGCATTTGGCACAGCAGTTAAGATACCACTTGGAATGCCAGCATCCCATATCAGAGTGCCTTGGTTCAAATTGTGCCTTAGCTCAAAGTTTTTGCTAATGCATGCCCTGGGGGTGAGCAGGTGATGGCTCAAGTATTTTGGGTCCTTGCCACCCACATGAGAGACCTATCTTTTTTTCTTTTTTGGTTTTTTTTTTTGTTTTGCTTTTTTTTGCTCTCTGACAGGCAGAGTGACAGGTGAGAGAGAACAGAGAGAAGGGCTTTGCCGTTGGTTCACCCTCCAATGGCCACCGCGGCTGGCGCACCACACTGATCCGATGGCAGGAGCCAGGTACTCATCCTGGTCTCCCATGGGGTGCAGGGCCCAAGTACTCGGGCCATCCTCCACTGCACTCCCTGGCCACAGCAGAGAGCTGGCCTGGAAGAGGGGCAACCGGGACAGAATCCGGTGCCCCAACCGGGACTAGAACCCGGTGTGCCGGCGCCGCAAGGCGGAGGAGTAGCCTAGTGAGCCCCGGCCCTTTTTTTTTTTTTTTTTTTGACAGGCAGAGTGGACAGTGAGAGAGAGAGACAGAGAGAAAGGTCTTCCTTTGCCGTTGGTTCACCCTCCAATGGCCACCGCGGCTGGCGCACTGCGGCCGGCGCACTGCAGCCAGTGCACCGTGCTGATCCAAAGGCAGGAGCCAGGTGCTTATTCTGGTCTCCCATGGGGTGCAGGGCCCAAGCACTTGGGCCAATCCTCCACTGCACTCCCTGGCCACAGCAGAGAGCTGGCCTGGAAGAGGGGCAACCGGGACAGAATCCGGCACCCCAACCAGGACTAGAACCCGGTGTGCCGGTGCTGCAAGGCGGAGAATTAGCCTAGTGAGCCACAGCGCCAGCCAAGAACTATCTTGAATTCTAGACTTTTGGCTTCTGCCAGGCCCAGCCATGATTGTTAACGGCATTTGGGGAGTGAACCAGTGGATGTGATACGGGGGAATGAAGCAAGGAGTTAGGTTGGGATACATAAAACTGGAGGAATTTTTTTTCAAATTCCTGTGTAGCACTGCATTGTAACTCCACCCCTTTACCAGTCAGGCCTGTACACCCACTTTCCCATGATGCATGTGTCTCGTCTAGGACCAGGAAGGAGAAGATGCCATGATGTACATGTGGGAGTTAAGCTCCAAGTGGAGGTGCCATGAAACTCCCAGAAAGCCTCATGCACACAAAACCCTACCCACACTTCACTTTGTATGTTCCATCAGGCACCCACCACCTACCTCATAAAAGAGACTGATAATGTAGAAGCAGCCTTTGTTTGGTTTCTGGACCGTGCACATGGGTCCTTCTGTGGTCTCCTCCCACTTTCTCTTCCTAGGCAAGTCTGGCCCACCCTTGACAGCTAAGTCCCCGTGTGGAGTAGCCCACACCAGCATGAATGTGTATTCACTCTCTTAAATAAATCCTGCTCTCACTTGTGCACTTTATTTATGCCTTTGTTTTGAATTCTTATCTCTGTGGTGGCAAGAACTTGGGAAAAAAAATGAAGGTGCTGATGCCCGTAACAGATGGAAGATTTCTGTCTCTGCCTCTTCACTTTTCAAATAAATTTTAAAAATAGAAATCACGGGGCCAGCTCTGTGGCGCAGTGGATTAACGCCCTGGCCTGAAGCGCCGGCATCCCATGTGAGTGCCGGTTCGAGACCCAGCTACTCCACTTCCTGTCCAGCTCTCTGCTGTGGCCCGAGAAAGCAGTAGAAGATGGGCCAACTCCTTGGGCCCGTGCTCCCATGTGGGAGACCGGGAGGAAGCTCCTGGTTCCTGGTTTCCGATTGGCACAGCTCCGGCTGTTGAAGCCATCGGGAGGGAACCAGCGGATGGAAGACCACTCTCTCTCTGCCTCTCCTATGTAACTCTGACTTTCAAATAAATAAATCTTTAAAACAAAAAGATAGAAATCACACTGAACTGATAGAATTCACTAGCATATCAGTGAGCAAAATAATAATAATTTAAAAAACCCACTAAAACCTAAGATAAAAGTAGACAAAGGGAATTTAGAAGGCAGAGGCAGTGGCCAGTTTGACTTTATGAGGAAAGTTTGACTTTATGAGGAACGTGTTACAGGGCTGTCAGTACTCAAGGACCCTAAACTCACTGTGGTCAGTCTTTGAGGCCTGTGCTTAAGTGAAATCTCAGATTTCCCAAGAGAGTACTTCACAGGTCGAGACCTTCCTTGGTCATTGTCACGCTGTGGATCCTTTCTCACAGAAGGTATTGGCCCCTGCCCTGTATCTTTTTTTTTTTTTTTTTTTTTTTTTTTTGACAGGCAGAGTGGACAGTGAGAGAGACAGAGAGAAAGGTCTTCCTTTGCCGTTGGTTCACCCTCCAATGGCCACCGCGGCCGGCGCGCTGCGGCCGGCGCACCGCACTGATCCGATGGCAGGAGCCAGGAGCCAGGTGCTTTTCCTGGTCTCCCATGGGGTGCAGGGCCCAAGCACCTGGGCCATCCTCCACTGCACTCCCTGGCCACAGCAGAGGGCTGGCCTGGAAGAGGGGCCACCGGGACAGAATCCGGCGCCCCGACCGGGACTAGAACCCGGTGTGCCGGCGCCGCTAGGCGGAGGATTAGCCTAGTGACCCGCGGCGCCGGCTGGCCCCTGTATCTTAACACCTTTCAATATTCCTAAGGGTGACTTTTATTGTGGAGGAGGCAGGGGCAGATTCATAAAGAGGAGGCTCCCTCCTGAGGTCCACTGATAAAATTGGGGTCAGGCTGCGCCTGTGGGGCAGGGATGTCAGTGGATGGAATGCCCGCTACCAAGGAAGAACGCATGGCATAAGGGACAGGTGGGAACGCGGGCAGAAGGGTGTCAGGGAGCGTGAATGGCCCCTGCCCCCGTCCCGCCGGAAGTCCCGCCCCACGGAAGTGAGCCTCGCCCACGGGCGGGAAACCAGTTAGGCGACGGGCTAAGTGGCAGCGGGCCTCGCCTAGAGGGTAAAGGCCTACTCCTCGGGTCAGGAGCTTTTGGGCCCTGCCTTCTGCTTTTCCTCAGATCCTGCTTGCGCCCTCCCTGGCCGGGTCCACCCCCACGGGTCCTTTCGTATGCCCGCCACGTGAGAGGTCGGCGGAGGGCCTTCCAGAACAGTGCCCCCAGCCGCAGGTGGGAGAAGATGGTTGCCGCGTGCCTTTTCGTCAGGAGCCCTGGCAGTTTTCATTCTAATGGCACCGTGCAGTCCCCAGAAGGCTGCCGGTGACTCTGATGCCCGGGAGGGATGGGAGTCTTTGGAGAGAGCATTTCTCGGAGCCAGGGTGGGACCAGGGGTCCCCTCATCGCGGGAACCGGCCGGATGGCTGGGGTGATGTGGGGTGGGTGGGGGGCTGGCGTTTGTCCCGCGCCTCTGACCTGCGCTCGGGACCCCAGGGACGCGAGGGCCCCGCGCCCAGAAGGGCCTGGTGAAGCACCTGTGCTCTTACGAGGGCTTCTCCCAGCTCCGTGGGTGAGCCCGAGCGCCGTCACCGGGCGGCTGGAAACCGCCGCCCGCGGAGGCCTGCGCCCTTGAGTTGGGGACTCCGGGGTCGCTCCGGGCCGGTCGGTCACACGAAGCAGCTGCTGTCTGCGTTGAACGCTGCGCTCTCGGGCCGGGCCGTGCGTCACTCCGCAAAGTAGAACTAACCAGAGCCTCGTCGGTCTGGCCCAGGGTCTCTGCAAGGCCTCTCGCCCGTGCCTCGTCGGTCGGGCCCAGGGTCTCTGCAAGGCCTCTCGGAGCCCAGGGGTGGCCTGGGGATGTGGGATCTGTGCAAGCGGGGCTGAGAGAGGAGGATTTCTCCGCAGTCTGCTCAGCTCAGCGTCGCGGCCCAAACCGATTCCGGGTCCCTGAACGCGTTTCCCGGGGCCTGAACGACTGCTGTTTCTCCTCCCCTCTCAACGATTCTAACAACAGTTTCTATTACACGTTGCCTCTCTCTCCTTTCTCCTCTTAAAGGACATCTTTAAGATGGATGGCCACTGTCAGCTAAGTAGTGGTGGTCTGGCGATGGGATTTTAAACCCTGCCAGCCTTCCACAGAAACATATCACTGGCTTTTCTGATATTTTGGGGTAATACTTTGGTTTTAAAAAGCTTTTGATAGTAACATTTTCTATGTCACGTAATGTTCAGTTTGTTTTCTTAGAGAAATTTAAATTTTTTAAAAAATTTTATTTGTGAAAGAGAAAGAGGTATGTGTAATGATTCCATCTGCTGGTTCACGCCCCAGATGCAGGGAGCCAGAATCTGTGACTCAAAACAGGTGTCCCACGAGAGTGGCAGGAACCCAATTACTTAGGCCATCACTGCTGCCCCCAGGGTCTGCATTAGAAGGAAACTGGAGCCAGGAGCTGGAGTTGGGTGTCCAAGTCAGGTACATCTGGGACATGGATGTCTTTTTTTTTTTTTTTTTTTAAGATTTATTTATTTTATTTGAAAGGCGGAGATACAAAGAAGGGGAGAAGGAGAGATATCTTCCATCTCTGGTTTACTCCCCAAATGGCCACAATGGCTGGGGCTGGGCCAGGCTGAAGCCAGGAGCTTCATCCAAATCTCCTACAAGGGTGCAGGGATCCAAACACTTGGGTCATCGTCATCTGCTTTCCCAGGTGCGTTAGAAGTACAGCACCTGGGACTTGAACCAGTGGCCACATGGGATGCGTCACTGCAGGCAGAGGCTTAACCTTCTACACCACAGCATTCTGACCCCGACAGGGATGTTTTAACTGCAACTAAATGTCTGCTCTTGCAGTTCTGTTTGGGGAAATAAATTGAGTGAGATCTCTCTAAGTGGTATAGGCCCTTTCTGTTATCTGAAAAAGTCCGTTTCTTCTTTCCTATGAGAATACTGTGAAAATTTTAAAACTTTCATTGTTTGGAACAATTTTTACCTATTTACCAAGTTACTGAAAGCACTTCATTATCTTTATTTGGCAGATAATGCTGTTCTTGGTAATAAGCTATTTTATAATTTTAAAATGATCAACCTCTTTAAAGTTTTTACTGTGGATGTTTTTAACACCTATCTAGAAAATAGGTGATTTGTGTTGCTGTCACTAGGTACTTGACAATCTATTTTTTAAAAAAATATTTATTTATTTATTTGAAAAAGTTAGAGAAAGGGAGAGTCAGAGAGAAAAAGATCTTCCATCCACTGCTTCACTCCCCAAATGGCCACAAGGGCTGGAGCTGGGCCAATCTGAAGCTAGGAGCCAGGAGCTTCTTCCAGGTCTCCCACATGGGTACAGGGGCCCAAGGACTTGGGCCATCTTCCACTGCTTTCCCAGGCCATAGCAGAGAGCTGGATTGGAAGTGGAACAGCTGGGACTCGAACCAGTGCCCATATGGGATGCCAGCACCCCAAGTGGCTGCTTAACCCGTTATGCCACAGTGCCCGCCCTTTGAAAATCTATTCTGTTGTTCAGAGTAAACATTTATTAGCAAAGAAAAGAAAAAAAGGAAGTAATATGTTGTCATTTTCAATTTCAGGCCATTTAGTTTAAAATTTTACATCATCCCTCTTTAGAAATAAAATTATGTTAAAAGGCAGAAAAGATTGAATAATTAAAATTAAGGAAATAGTTCTTAAGCTCCCCCATAAGGTAAAAAACATTCACAAATACACAACTATCCATTTTGTAAGAGTTTTTTAAATCTAGTCTGTCTTTCTAAACCTTAAACCATTTGTTTAAAGGTGATTTACATTTATATACAATAGACAGCATAAGAGATGATAACAGCCGACGCTGTGGCATAGTGGGTATAGCAGTGCCGGCATTCCATATGGGTGCCGGTTCAAGTCCCAGCTGCTCCATTTCCGATCCAGCTCTCTGCTAAGGCCTGGGAAAGCAGTAGAAGATGGCCCAAGTCCTTGGGCCCCTGAACTCCCATGGGAGACCTGGAAGAAACTCCTGGCTCCTAGCTTCGATCGGCGCAGCTCTGGCCCTTGCGGCCATCTGGGGAGTGAACCAGCGGATGGAAGGCCTCTCTTTCTCTCTCTACCTCTCCTCTCTGTGTGTAACTCTGACTTTCAAGTAAATAAATAAAATCTTAAAAAAAAAAAAGAGAGAGGATAGCAGTATAGGCCCTGACTCTTGTACTTGCTGGCTTTTTGAACTTACACAGGTCATCTTCTCTCTCCTATCTGATCTGTCTTCATACATGTAGCTCCCGTAAGGTTACTGTGAAGACGGAAAAAATAATATTTATAAGGTGTGGAAAACTGAGTCTGGCCTATAGTATGTATTTATATAATTTTAGAAGCTGTTATTTTTATGAAAATTGTGGAGTAAAACACCCACAGAATCACCCTCAAAAGATAACTATAATATGCTACTGTCTTTCCATTCAGTCTTTTAAATTTGTCTCTCTAATTGGGATCATATTGTAGATAAAATTTTCAGTGTTGCTGTTTTTGGTTTACTTTGTAATATAAGAATTTTTCTTGCTATTTAGCATTTCTAGTAAATGTGATTGTCTTATAATAGTTTATTATCTTGTGGCTATACCACAGTGTACCTAACAATTTATTTTTTAATGTAATGCTTAGGTTAAAAATGTCAAAACTAGCATATATTCATAAAAGAATCTCATATTTGTTATTTAAGCTTTATTTTTGCTTAGAAATATTCACTTTGAGTATGAGAATGAAAAATACGAAAGATAATTGGCCATCTTCTTTTAACAGCATACTGTAGGGGCTAATGGGAATTTTTGAGTTCTGTGAATCCTAATTTGTTGCTTGAAGAAGTAATTGAACGCTGATACATTTTTCTTTTCTTTTTTTTTTTTTTAAGATTTTTATTTATTTATTTGACAGGTAGAGTTACAGACAGTGAGAGAGAGAGAGAGAGAGAAAGGTCTTCCTTCCGTTGGTTCACTCCCCAAATGGCCGCAATGGCTGGAGCTGCGCCGATCCGAAGCCAGGAGCTAGGAGCTTCTTCCTGGTCTCCAACGCGGGTGCAGGGGCCCAAGGACTTGGGCCATCTTCTGCTGCTTTCCCAGGCCATAGCAGAGAGCTGGATTGGAAGAGGAACAGCCAGGACTAGAACCGGCACCCATAGGGATGCTGGCGCTGCAAGCATAGGATTAACCTAGTGTGCCCCGATGCTGACCCCTGATATATTTTTCTAAGTAATTTGTTTAGGCTCTTAAAGTAGGTCATGTAAGAGACCGTATTAGAGCTGCCAGGTTTTTTTTAAAGTTCTAACAAAAAGTTAGAAAAAAAGTAAGCAAAGATTTAAGCCAAGTAGAATATCATGCCAAAAATAACTAAGGATTTTTAGAAAAAAATTGTGTATTAAACTTGTGGAGAGAGAGAAAGAGTTTTTTTTAAAACCTCTGACTCATGGAGAGGTGGCCAACCAAACTATAGGATGAAGATTTACAGGAAAGACAAAACTGGGACTGGAGGAGAACTAGCTAGATTCAGTCAACCAACCATTTCTGTGTGTGTGTGTGTGTGTGTGTTTAAGATTTATTTTATTTGATAGAGTTAGAGAGAGAGGTCTTCCATCCACTGGTTCACTCCTCAAATGGCTGCAATGGCCAGAGTTGAGCCAATCTGGAGCCAGGAGCCAGGAGTTTCTTTTGTATCTCCTATGCGGGTGTGGGGGCCCAAGGACCTGGACCATCTTCTGCTGCTTTCCCAGGCCAGAGCAGAGAGCTGGATTGGAACTGTAGCAGCCAGGACTTGAACTAGTGCCCATATGGAATGCCAGTGCTGCAGGCCGGGCTTTAACCCACTGAACCACGGTGCTGGCCCCCAACCGTTTGTTTAATACAATTTGTTGAATATATATAGTTTTTAAAATGTGAGATGTGTAATTCTTTTAACAATGCTATGAAGTAGGAATATAATTAATGTTTTTTTAAAAAGATTTATTTACTTGAAAGTCAGAATTACACAGAGGAAGACACAGAGACAGAAAGAGAGAGAGAGAGAGAGATGGAGAGAGAGAGAAATCTTCATCCACTGGTTCACTCCCAAATGACCACAATGGCTGGGGCTGGGCCAGGCCAAAGCTAGGAGCAAGGAGCTTCTTGGTCTCCTGTGTGGGTGCAGAGACCCAAGCACTTGGAACATCTTCCATTGCTTTCTCAAGCCATTAGCAGGGAGTTGGATTTGAAGTGGAGCAGCCAGGACTCAAACCGGCACCCATATGGGATGCCAGTGTCTCAGGTGTCAGTTTTTATCTGCTATGCCACAGCGCCGACCCTATATCATTTCTTTTTTTTTTTTTTTTTTAGATTTATTCATTTGTTTATTTGAAAGTCAGAGTTACACAGAAAGAGGAGAGGCAGAGAGATGTCTTCCATCCACTGGTTCACTCCCCAGTTGGCCACAGCAGCTGGAGCTGAGCCGATTCAAACCCAGGTGCTTCCTCCGGGTCTCCCACGCTGGTGCAGGGGCCCGAGGACTCGGCCATTCTCCACTGCCTTCCTAGGCTACAGCAGAGAGCCAGATCAGAAGTAGAGCAGCCGGGATACAAACTGGTGCCCATTTGGATGCCGGCACTGCAGGTGGTGGCTTCACCACCTTGCAACAGCGCTGGCCCCTTATATCATTTCTGTTTGTAGAAGAGGAAACTCAGAGAACTTAAGCCAACTAAACAATATCATATGTCTAATAAATTGCAGAATCAGTCCCTAGTCTTCTGGCTTCAGGAAAACCATTCTTTTACCAGTCCTTTGCAGTTATTTTCTGGCATTCTGGGACATGGATTTTAATTGACAAAATACCTTTTTTTTTTTAGATGAAATATAAAGAAAAAGAATATAAGCAAATATGGAAAGTGAGGACACGAAGAAAACACAAGGTGAGAGATTCATGGATCCTATATCTGCAGTTAGTTTTTTTTTATATTTATTTATTAATTTATTTGAAAGGCAGATTCAAAGAGAGGCAGAGAGAGAGGTTGGTCTTCCATTCGCTGGTTCATTCCCCAGATGGCCACAATGGCTGGAGCTGAGCCAATTCAAAGCCAGGAGCTAGGAGCTTCTTCCGGGTCTACCACGTGGGTGCAGGGGCCCAAGGACTTAGGCCATCTTCTGCTTTCCCAGGCCATAGCAGAGAGCTGGATCAGAAGTGGAGCAGCTGACTCGAACTGGCACCCATATGGGATGCCAGCACTACAGGCGGCAGCTCTACCCACTACGCCACAGTGCCAGTCCCTACAATTAGTTTTCTATTTGTGGGAGATAAAAGTACTACATATTATCTTTCAGGCTCCAGGAAGAGTCATTGAGCAATTTACATAAATATTTAATATCTGCTCTGCACCTGTTGCATAATTCCTGGCTTCAGGAAACAGACATTCTCCTGTGAAAATACAGGCTGGCGCTGTGACACAGTGGGTTAATCTGCCACCTGCAGTGCCAGCATCCCATATAAGCCCACACGTCCTGGCTATTCCACTTCCAATTCAGCTCCTTGCTAATGTGCTTGGGAAAGCAACAGAAGATGGTCCAAGTTCTTGGGCCCCTGTACACATGTGGGAGACCCAGAAGAAGCTCCTGGCTCCTGGCTTTGGTCTGGCCCATCGCCTGCTATTGCAGCCATTTGGGGAGTGAACCAGCAGATGCAATATCTCTCTCTCTGTGTCTATCTCACTGTAACTCAGTCCTTCAAATAAATGCTTAAAAAAAGGCTGAGAAAAAACATTTCAGAAAGGCAGAAACAGACATAAATGTGATACATCTTGTATGCTTTTTCATATACTTATTGATAGTTTGTTTTCTTTTGAGAAATGTCTGTACAGATTCTTTACATGCGTTTTAGATTTATTTGTTCTGAACACAAGCCCATTATTGGATATCTGATTTTCACATATTTTCTTCCAGACGGGGCTGTTTTATATACCTAAAAAATCTATTTATTTGAAAGGCAGAGTGACAGAGGAGGGGAGAGACAGAGATATCTTCCACCTGCTGGTTCACTCCTCAAATGGCTTCAAGAGCCAGGGGCTGGGTCAGATGGAAGCTAAAACACTGGAACGCCCAATGTGGATGGCAGCAGGGGCCCAAGTACTTGGGCCATCTTCTGCTGCTTTCCTAAATGCTTTAGCAGGGAACTGGATCAAAAGCAGAGCAACAGAGACGTGAACCTGGAATGCCAGTGTTGTAAGTGGCAGCATAACCCTCTTCACCACAATGTTGGCCCTGTGTCTTACCATATTCTTGGTGGTTTCTTTTTGAAGCTCAAATGTTTAAAAATTTGTTAAAATTTATTCATTTCTTTGAAAGGCAGAGAGACAGAGAAATATTCCATCCCCTGATTCTTAGGCCTGGGCCGGGCCAAAGCCAGGAACCAGGGAACTCCGTCTGGGTCTCCCACATGGCTGGCAGGGACCCAACTCCTTGAGCCATCATCTGCTGCTTCTCATGGTGTGCATTAGCAGGAAGCTGGCGTTGAGAGTGGAGGTGGGACTCAAACCCAGGTACTCTGATAACGGATGTGAACATCCTAAATGGCATCTTAACTGCCACACCAAATGCCATCCACATGGGAGACCCGGATTGAGTTCCTGGCTTGGGCCTGGCCCATCACTGGCCATTGCAGGCATTTGGAGAGTGAACCTATGGATGGAAGATCTCTGCGTCTGTTTCTGTCTCTCTGCCTTTCAAATAAAATGAAAATAAATAAAAATTTTAAAAGGGAAAAATAAGAACAAAAGCTTGTTGGAATTGTGTTTAATATGCAGACCAATTTGGGGAGAACTGACAACAATATTTAGTCTTCTAACTCATGAACAAAGTGTAATGCACCATTTATTTTGGTCTTTAATTTTTCTTAGTATTTTTAGTTTTCAGTGTATATGTCTTCAATATTTTTTGTTAGATGTATCCCTAAGTATTTCATATTTTCAAACTATTGTAATGATACCAGTTTTTAAATATCAATTTCCATTTGTTTGTTGCTGGTATATAGAAATACAATAGATTTTTTGCATATTAAATGGATATCCTAAAAATTGATACTCCACTTATTAGTTTTAGTAGGTTTTTTGTTAAACCAATCAAATTACCTACATACAATTTCTTGTAGTATGTGAACTCAGGCGATTTTAATTCTTCCTTTTCAATTTGGATGCCTTTTATCTTTTTCTGTTCTGATGACACTGGTGAGAGACTCCAGTATGATGTTAAATAGGAGTGGTGAGAGCAGGTATCTGTCTTCTTTCATGAAAATTTTTAGTCTTTACCTTTAGGTATGATGTTTGCTGTAGAACTTTTTGTTTTTGTAGATACACTTTGTCAGGTTGAGGACATTCCTTTCTATTCCAAGCTTGTTTGGTTATTTTTCTGAATTAAAGATGGATGTCAGCTTTTATCAAATGCTGCTTCTATATTTGTTGAAGTGACCCAAAGGGTTTACTTTTTAATTTGATTTTGTTACATTTATTTTTTTTTTAAATCAACCCTGCACTGATGGGGTAAACCCACTTGGTTGTAATGTACTATTACTTTAATGTAATGTATATTTAACTCCTCAAAATTGTTTAGACTTTTTGCATTTATCTATGAGGGATAGGTCTATAGTTTTCTTTCTAGTGGCTTTGGTTTAGTATCAGGTAATGCCAACGTGATAGGATAAGTTGAGAAGTAGCCCTTCTGTTAAACTTTTGGAAAAGTTTGTGTAGAATTGGTGTTTTTTTTCCCCTTATATGTTTGTTAGAATTTACAAATGAAACTGTCTGAACCTGAAGTTTTCTCTGTGGAAAAGTTCTGAAGTATAATAATTTTTTTTTTTAATCTTTTTTTTTTTTTTGGACAGGCAGAGTTAGACAGTGGGGGGGAGGGGGGAGGGAGAGAGGAGAAAAAGGTCTTTCTTCCTTTGGTTCACCCTCCAAATGGCTGCTACGGCCGGTGCTGCGCCGATCCAAGCCAGGAGCCAGGTGCTTCCTTCTGGTCTCCTATGTGGGTGCAGGGCCCAAGCACTTGGGCCATCCTTCACTGCCTTCCCGGGCCACAGCAGAGAGCTGGAATGGAAGAGGAGCAACCGGGACAGAACTGGTACCTCAACCGGGACTAGAACCCGGGCTGCCGACGCCACAGGCGGAGGATTAACCTAGTGAGCCGCGGCGCCGGCCGATAACTTTTGTTGATATAGTACTATTCAGATTATCTGTTTTTTCTGGATGAGTTTTGAAGGTTTGTATCTTTTAAACAATTTGTCCAATTTACCTAAGTCATTGAATCTATAGGTATGTTGTTGTATATAATATTCATTATTTTTTTTAATATATGTAGATTCTGGGGCAATGTTATCTTTCTCGATCCTAATGTTGGTAAACTGAATCTTTCCTCCTTTTTTCCTAATCTGTCTGAATAGAGATTTATCAATTTTAGTGATCTTCTCAAAGCACCTGCTCTATTTTTCTGTTTCCTATTTCACTAATTTCAGCTTTGATGTTTGTAATTTCCTTTCCTCTACTTAGAGTTTAATTTGCTCTCTAGTTTTTCGAAAAAATGTTAATTAATTAATTTGAAAGGCAGAGTTAGAGAAAGAGAGATCTTCCATCCAGTAGTTCACTCACTCCCCAAGAAGCTGCAATAGCCAGGGCTGGGCCAGGCCAAAACCAGGAGCAAGGAGGTTCTTCCAGGTCTCTCATGTGGGTACAGGGGCCTAACACTTGGGCCATCTTCTACTTCTTTCTCAGGCACAGTAGCAGGGAGCTGGATTGGAAGTGGAGCAGCTGGGACTCAAACTGGTACTCATATGGGACACAGGTGCTGCAGACAGCAGCTTTGCCCATTGTGCCTCAGTGCCGGCCCCTACTTTCTAGTTTCTTAAGGTGGAAGCTGAGGTCATTGATTTAAGACTGTTTTCTTTTCTAATATAAATATTTAGTGCTATAAATTTCCTCCTAAATACTACTTTAGTAGCTTCCCACAAATTCTGCTATGTATTACTATTTTCATTTTCATTTCATTCATTTCTAAATGGCAGCTATTTAAGCCACTGTAGCTTCACTTAAAGAGAATATTTGGATCTTCTATTCCTATTTTTACACATATTTTTAAAAGGTAGATTTTAGGGGCCAGTTTTGTGGCATAGCAGGTAAAGCTGCCACCTATGATGCTGGCGTCCCATAGAACCACTGGTTTGAGTCCCAGCTGCTCCCTGCTAATGGGCCTGGGAAAGCAGAGGAAGATGGCCCAGGTACTTGGACCCCTACACACATGGAAGACCCAGAAGAGATTCTTGGCTCTTGGCTTCAGTCTGGCCCAGCTGTGGCTGTTGACGCCATTGATGAGTGACCTGCAGATGAAAGATCTGTCTCTCCCTCTTTCTTCCATCTTCTGATGCATTCTGCAAATAGCGTCAACAGCCAGGGCTAGACCAGATTGAAGCCAGGAGCTTCTTCCTGTCTCCCACATGGGTTCAGGAGTCCAAGCACTTGAGACATCTTCCACTACTTTTCCAGGTGCATTAACAGGGAGCTGGATTGGAAGTGGAGCAGCTGGTTTTTGAACTGGTATGCATATGTGATGCTGGCATTACAGGCTGCAGCTTTACCTGCTAAACCAAAAAATTCTAAGAAGTTTTATATTATTTATGAGCCGGCGCCGTGGCTCAATAGGCTAATCCTCCACCTTGCGGCGCCGGCACACCGGGTTCTAGTCCCGGTCGGGGCGCCGGATTCTGTCCCGGTTGCCCCTCTTCCAGGCCAGCTCTCTGCTATGGCCAGGGAGTGCAGTGGAGGATGGCCCAGGTGCTTGGGCCCTGCACCCCATGGGAGATCAGGAAAAGCACCTGGATCCTGGCTCCTGCCATCGGATCAGCACGGTGCGCCGGCTGCAGCGGCGGCCATTGGAGGGTGAACCAACGGCAAAGGAAGACCTTTCTCTCTGTCTCTCTCTCTCTCACTGTCCACTCTGCCTGTCAAAAAAAAAAAAAAAAAAAAAAAAAAAGAAGTTTTATATTATTTAAACAACATATTTTTATACATCTTTATAATTTGTTAGATTATAAAATAATAATGCTCATTGTTGAACATTCTAAAAATTTATAATCAGAAAATAAAATTGGTTAATTTTTGAAAGAAAACTTTTGCTTAAAGTAACAGTTTTTGTCCTTTAGAAATGAAGACTGACCTGAATTTATTATTGGAGTGTATAAAGCATCAAATGGACAACCCTGTTTCACAAAAGGAAGCCTTGGTCTCTATTCATTCAATTTGTCAACAAAACAGTAAGATACAATCGTGAATTTTTATCTGTGATTCTAATTCTTTTGTACTGTGATATATATACATACTTTTTAAACTTCCACTCAGTTACTATACATATTATGTTGCTTTGTTCATGCATTTTGTTTTATCCTTTAAAGAATAATGAAAATAAACATGGTTTCCATTTTGTTTTGTTTGCACCCCCTACAGGTAACGCAGGTGTTTATTTTCGGGAAATTGGTGGTTTGGTATTTGTGAAAAATCTTGCAAAGTCAAGTGAACATAGTACAGTAAAAGCAGCAGCCTTATATACATTAGGAGCTATTGCTGAAAAAAATGGTAAGATATATTAAACTTTATTTCATTATACTTCAAGCATTGTGTCATACTTAAATTTTACAAAAATATTTATTTATTTATTTGAAAGAGCTAGAGAGAGAGAGAGAGAGAGAGAGGGAGAGACAGAGAGATCTTCCATCTGTTGCTTCACGCCCCAGATGGCTGCAATGGAGCCAGGATCCAGGAGCTTCTTCCGGGTTTCCCACATGGGTGACAGGGGCACAGGCACTTGGGCCATCTCCCACTGCTTTTCCCAGGCCATTAACAGTGAGCTGGATCAGAAGTGGAACAGTTGGGACTTGAACTAGCACCAATAAGGGATGCCAACATCACAGGCGATAGCTTTACCTACTATACCACAACTCAGGCCCCCTGTGTTATATTTAATTAAACTAATAATAAATAATTTTATAATTAAATTCATTTGTTTTGTCTGTTTGAATAGTTTTATCCAGGTACTTTATTCAAACAATGAAGATTGCTTCAAACCTTCTTGTATGTGGGTTAATATGCTTTCAGTACAGAAATTCATGTTGGCAAGAATATTTTTCTGTAGAGTACCTGAAATGAGATTGAATCTAAACCACTGGTTTGTCAAACCAACTTTATATTCCTAAACTTTTGTTCACTAAGTATTTCTTCATCACCTATTCAGAACCAAGCTCTGTGCTAGTCTTTGGGATGCTGGGATAAATAAAATGGTCTTTGCCATGAGACAGGGGCTGATACAAGTCCTAGGCAGGGATATGTGCTGATTATATCACTGTCTTCAAATGATTGTTGTAAAATTCTGCTTTTCTCAGATTATTACAAAAAATAACTGCAGTCAGGTGAATATCATTTGAAAATATTTTTATTTCTGGAAAAGTCTAAAAAATCACCAATTTCATATTCGTCCCTTTGTTTTTTATGGCAGATTATGAGTTTTCTCCAACTTTTATTTGCTATTTTTTTTAAGATTTATTTATTAATTTGAAAGACAAAGTTACAGAGAGATAGGGAGAGACAGAGAAAGAGAGAGATCTTCCATCCACTGTTTACTCCCCAAGTAGCCACAATAGCCAAGGCTGGGCCAGGCTGAAGCCAGGAGCTTCTTTTGGGTCTCCCACAAGTGTTCAGGGGCTCAAGCACTTGGGTCATCCTCCTCTGCTTTCCCAGGTGCATTAATAGGAAGCTGGATCAGGATTAGGGTGGCTGGGACTCAAACCGGTGCCCATATGGGGTGCCGGTGCTGCACATGATGGCTTAGCTGCTATGCCATAACACTGGCCCCTATTTGCTATGTTTGGTTACTTATCCTCTTGAAACTTTTTGTCATATTTATTTTTTATTTATTTAGTTTTTATTGGAAATTCTGGGAGATTTCAATGTATTTTGGTGCCTAGATGAAGTACTTTTCATTAAGATACTTTTTCTTTTGTCTACTGATTGAGTTAAGCATATATTAGTTTGTCAGAGATTTTATTATATAACTAATAAATGTTAATTTAAAAAGATCTGGTTAAGAAACATACCATATTAACAACTTTGCATATTTTAGAACTTGTTTGTGTTAATATAGTGAAACTAAAATTATATTTTGTATTTCAGTTTACTGTCAGCAGACTTTGTGTACTTCAGAATTGTTTGAAGACTTAACTTGGTTCTTATCTAATAATGATTCAAGCACAAATTTGAAAAGAATGTCTGTTTATGTTATTTTGGTTCTGGTTTCAAACAATAGTAAGTATATTCTCATGAAATTTTTAAAAATATTTATTTATTTTTAAATATTTATTTATTTATTTGAAAGAGTTACACAGAGAGGGAAGGAGAGGCAGAGAGAAAGAGAAAGAGAGAGTTCTTCCATCTGCTGGTTCATTCCCCAATTAGCCGCAGCGGCCGGAGCTGCGCCGATCCAAGCCAGGAACCAGGAGCTTCTTCCAAGTCTCCTACGTGGGCACAAAGGCCCAGTGACTTGGGCATCCTCTATTGCTTTCCCAGACCATAGCAGAGAGCCTGATCAGAAGTGAAGCAGCCGGGTTTCGAACCGGTGCCCATATGGGAGGCTGGCACTGCAGGCAGGAGCTTTACCTGCTATGCCATAACATTGGCCCCCAACAAAATATTTTAAATAATAAATTCTAAGGCTATGCTTTCTGGGATTTTTAAAAAAGATTTATTTTATTTATTTGAAAAGCAGAGTTATGGAGAGAGAGGGAGGGAGGGAGGGAGAGAGAGAGAGAGAGAGAGAGAGATTGATCGATCGATCGATCGATCTTCCATCTGCTGGTTCACTCCCCAAATAGCGTTAATGGCCATGGCTGAGTCAGACTGAAAGCTAGGAGCCAAAATCTTCTTCTGGGCCTCCCATGTGTGTACAGAGCCCAAGTACTTGGGCCATCCTCTGCTGCTTTCCCAAGCACATTAGCAGGGAACTGGATCAGAAGTAGAGCAGCGGGACTTGAACCAGCACACATATGGGATGTTGGTGTCACAGGTGTCGGCTTAACCTATTAAACCACGATGCCGGCCCCTGAGATCATTTTTCATAATTCCTTAAAAGAGATTTACCTGAGGGTATAGAACACCAAAAAGCACCAGGAGGCACAGTGTTCTCTCCTGAGCCTGAAGCCAGTTGGCGTTGCTTTGCTCTGACTGCCATTTGCCATAGACTGTGGTTCTTCTCTTCCTTTGGGATAATAACAGGGAGAGGATATAATCTGAGTGGCCTACATTAAATAAACTAATAAATAAACTGAAGTAGTTAGGAGTTTTAAAATTCTAGTCCTTTTTTGATTAAATATTTATTTATTTGAAAGGCACAGTTACACAGAGAGAGAAGGAGAGGCAGAGAGAGAGAGAGAGGTCTTCCATCCACTGATTCACTCCTCAGTTGGCTGCAATGGCCAGAGCTGCGCCGATCTGAAGCCAGGAGCCAGGAGCCAGGAGTCTCCTCCGGGTCTCCCATGCGGGTGCAGAGACTAAAGGACTTGGACCATTTTGTACTACTTTCCCAAGCTATAGCAGAGAGCTGGATCGGAAATGTAGCAGCCAGGATACGAACCAATGCCCATATGGGATGCTGGCACTACAGGCAGAAGCATTACCCGTTACACCACAGCGCTGGCCCCAAAATTCTAATTCTTATATAAATGTCTTGTTTTAAAAATATTTAAGAGGCAGAGAGAAACACAGAGAGTTTCCATCTATTGGTTCACTCCCAAAATATCCACAACAACCAGGGCTGGGTCAGGCCAAAGCTGGGAGCATGGGACTCAATCCAGGTCTGCAACCTGGGTGATAGGAACTCAATTACTTGAGCCATTACCTGTTGCCTCCTAGAGTGTACATTAGCAAGAAACTGGAATCGGGAGCAGTGGTGGGACTTGAACCCAGGCACTTTGATATGGGATGTGAACTTAACTGCTATGCCAGTTGCCAGGCCATAGTGTCTTCTTTTTAAGCTCATCCAAGAAATACTATCTTTAATGAAAATGAAATTAATAGCATTTTAATCATTTGATATTTGTTAATTTTAAAAGTGATTTGTACTACAGTCATTAACAAATGTTGAAAAGTAATGGCCAGTGCTGTGGCATAGCAGGCTAAGCCTCCACCTGCAGTGCCGGCATCCCTTATGGGTGCTGGTTTGTGTCCCAGCTGCTCCTCTCTTGATCTAGCTCCCTGTTAATGGCCTGGGGAAGCAGTAGAAGACGGCCCCTGCACTTATCTGGGAGACCTGGATGAAGCTCCTGGCTTCAGATCAGCCTAGCTCTGAATGTTACGACCATTTGAGGAGTGAACCAGTGGATGGAAGACCTTTCTCTGTCATTCCCTCTCTTTGCCTGTAACTCTGCTCTCAAATAAATAAAGTCTTTTTAAAAAATTCCCCAAGATGAGCTTTCTTAAAAAAAAAAAAAAAGTAACACCTTTCTGAATGGGCATTTGGTGCAATGGTGAAGACACTGCTTGGGACACCTGCATCCCATGTCAGAATGCCCAAGTTTGAGACCCAACTCCACTTCTGATTCCAGCTTCTTGCTAATGCACACCCTGCAAAGCAGGAATTGATGGCCCGAGTGCGTAGGTGGTCCCTGCCACCTATGTGGGAGATCGGATTGAGTTCCCAGCTCCTGGCTTTGGCCTGGCCCAGCCCCAGCTATTGCAGGAATTTGCACCCAACAGATGGAAGATCCATCTCTCTTTCTCTTTGCCTTTTGAATGAATGAATGAAAAGTAACAACTTTAAAGGAAAAAGAGAGGCAGGCAAATCATTTGGTAGATTTTCTGGTGAATTGACCATTTACTTTCAGTGTTTAATGTATTAGGCAGCAGTGGTCTTTATTTTGGAATAATTTTAGGTTTATAGAAAAGCTGCAAAGATAGTATAGAGTCTTTCTGTATAACTATTGTGCAGGTAAGTTTTTTTTTTTTTTACCTTGCCTTATTTCTTCAAATTGTGAGAACTTTTATATTCATTTAATATGTGTCCAGAATTTTTTCTATTTTGAAAAACTAGAAAGGATCAAATTTATTTTTTTTTCTATTTTGGAAACTATCTTGGTATTATAACATAGAAACATAGATGCAAAGTAAAGGTTTTATAAGTTTTGGAGGAAATTTGAGTGCTGTCAGACTCTGAGCATAAGTAGTATATTTTTCATAATAATCTTGATCACAATTTTTTTCTATTGTAATAAAATTTAACTTAAAATATATAAAATTTCATTTCTGTGAAATTATTTCTAAAGTCATATTCATGTAATATATGGCTTTTCTTTTTGAGGACCTGGACAAACTCTCGTGAGAGAAACAGATTGTATTACTGTTCTGTCACAATTGTTCAAGTAAGTAAATACAAATTTCTTGCTAATTATTCACTACTTAAGACCTCAACATATTTGTGTTAATTTTCTTCTTTTTACCCTAATAGGAAAATTCTTTCAAAATATGAGTTGGATTTGTCAGATGAAAATATTTTCCAGAATTACCAGTTGTGGGCTTCAGTATGTAGTACTCTGTGTGTCTGTGTTAACAATCCTCAAAATGGTAATCATTTCAAATATTTCATTATAAAAATAAAGATTAAAAACAGATACTTAAACTGATATATTCCATATGTCATACATGATTGTCTTGGTCTCTTTTCAGATGAGAATCAAAGGTTTTGTTGTTCACTGTTTTCACATGCTAATGATTGGCTAATAAACTGCATGAAACCTGAGATAATTCGCCCTATTTGCGCATTCATTGGCCTCACTCTTGCAAATAACAGTTAAGTATTCATTATTCTCTAGGTCATATTTGAAGAAACATACTTCAAGTGATTTAATTCACTATTTAATTGAATTAGTGTATTATAGTAATTTGAGTCATATTGGATGCATTTAGATTATTTAAAATGAGAAAATGTTAAAAATAGATATGAAGAGGATTTTAGGAAGATGGTGATGGCAGAATAAGGTTTTTTTTTAAAGACATATTTATTTGAAAGTTACAGTTACAAAGAGGAAGAGACAGAGAGGTCTTCCATCTGCTGGTTTACTTCTCAAATGGCTGCAATGGACCAGGCCAAAGGAACTTCTTCTGGGTCTCTCACATGGGTGCAGGGGCCCAAGCACTTGGGGGCATCATCTGCTGCTTTCCCAGGTGCATTAGCAGGGAGCTAGATCAGACGTTGAGCAGGCAAAGGAAGACCTTTCTCTCTGTCTCTCTCTCTCACTGTCCACTCTGCCTGTCAAAAAAAAAAAAAAAAAAAAAAAAAAAAAAGAAGAAGTCGAGCAGCCGGGACTTGAACTGGTACCCATATGGGATGCTGGTGCTGCAACCAGTGGCTTAACCTGCTACACCACAGCGCCAGCCCCCAGAATAAGTTTTTAATATCCATAAATAATAGAGCAACTGGATAGCAAAACTAAAAATCCATGGAGTATATTCTTGATCACAGTTATATTAAATTAGAAGTGAATAAAAATAAAATATCTAGAAAAGCCTAAAATTTCAGGTAATTAAATAACAGTATTTTTTAAAGAGTCAAAGTATAAATCATTATGGAAATTATTATTAAATATTTATTCATTTGGAAGGCAGAGCAGCAGAGAGGGGCAGAAAGAGAGAGAAATCTTCTATCAGCAAATCTACTCCTCAAATAGTTAGAACATCCAGGCCTGGGGCAGGCCAGAGCCAGGAACTTCATCTGGATATCAGGGGCCCAAGACTTGACGTCCTCCATTGCCTCCCCAGGCACATTAACAGGAAGCTGGATGGAAAGCAGAGCCATCAGGACTCCAATTAGTACTCTAGCATGGGATGTCAGCATCGCGGGTGGTAACTCAACCTGCTATGCCGTAATACCAGTCCCAAGGAGATCATTTGTTTTTAAGGTTTTGTGTATTTATTTGAAAGGCAGAGCAACACAGAGAGGGAGAGAGGGAAAGAGAAAGAGAAAGAGAATGTCTTCCATCTGCTGGTTCACTCCCCAAATGGGCACAGCAGTCAGGTCTGGGCCAGGCTGAAGCTAAGAGCCAGATCTCACAGGAGTGGCCCTGCCAGGTGCATCATTAGGAAGCTGAATCAGAAGCAGAGTAGCTGGAACTCCCAGCCGGCTCTCCAGTGTAGGATGCTGATATTATAGGCAGCACCTTAACTTACTGCATCTCAACAGCAGCCCCAAAGATAGTCTTTTCAAAAAGTGGATATCTGTATGCAAAATGTGAATCTCAACCCTTATTTCACACAGTATTTACAAATCAACTTGAATGATTGTCAGACATAAGAGTGAAAAAATAGAAAACTTTTAGATAAAAACAGGAGAAAATCCTCATAACTTAGGTCTAGATAAAGAATTTTTAGGATATAAGAAGCATGAGCTACTAAAATGATAAACTGTATTTCATTGGAATTAAAATCTTTGTTAAGAAGATGAACGGTGCGGGCATTTGGTCTGGTGATCAAGACAACACATAGAATGCCCAAGTCCCGTAGTGGAGTGCCTAGGCTGGAGTCCCTGCCCTGCTCCTGATTCCAGCTTCCTGCTAACGCACACCCCAGGAGCAGCAGGTGGTGGCTCAAGTACTTGCGTCCCTGCCACACACATGGAAGACCTCAATTGAGTTTCTGGTTTCTGATTTGGGCCTGGCCCAAACTTGGCTGTTGTGATTATCTTGGGAATGAACCAGTGGATGGGAACTCTCTGTCCTGTCTCTTTCAAATAAATTTGCCTTTCAAATAAATTTTAAAAAAAGAAAAAAACATAACTAGGAAATCACTCTTAAAAAAAGGTATAGTAGGCCGGCGCCGCGGCTCACTAGGCTAATCCTCCACCTTGCAGCGCCGGCACACCAGGTTCTAGTCCCGGTTGGGGCGCCGGATTCTGTCCCGGTTGCCCCTCTTCCAGGCCAGCTCTCTGCTGTGGCCAGGGAGTTCAGTGGAGGATGGCCCAAGTGCTTGGGCCCTGCACCCCATGGGAGACCAGGATGAGTACCTGGCTCCTGCCATCGGATCAGCGTGGTGCGCCAGCCGCAGCGCACCAGCCGCGGCGGCCATTGGAGGGTGAACCAACGGCAGAAGGAAGACCTTTCTCTTTGTGTCTCTCTCTCTCACTGTCCACTCTGCCTGTCCAAAAAAAAAAAAAAAACTATAGTAGATGTTTGTTGCAGCAGTTAATTTGCTGCTTAGGATGACCACATCCTGTGTTGCAGTGCCTGGGTTTGATACCCGCCTCTGGCTTCCTAATCCAGCTCCTGCTAATGTAGACCAGGGGAGATGGTTTAAGTACTGCCCCTTCTCCTACCCACTTTTCTGGCATTTGGGGAGTGAACTGTGGATAGTTCTGCTCTCCTTGCCTTCTTACTTTCTGTTTGTTTGTCTCTGTCTTTTTATAATTAAACACACACACAAAGTAAGCCACAGACTGGGAAAAAATTTTTTTAAAGACTTATTTGTTCATTTCAAAGAGTTAGAGATGGAGAGATAGAGATTTTCCGTTGGCTGATTCAGTCCTCAGATGGCCACAGCTGCTGGGGCTAGGCCAGGCCAAAGCCAGGAGCCAACAGCTTCTTCCAGGTCTCCCACATGGCTAGCAGGGGACCAAGCACTTGTTCCAGCTTCTGCTGCTTTTCCCAGGCCATTAGCAGGGAGCTGGGTCAGAAATGGAGCTGGGACACAAACCAGCACCATATGGGATGCTGGTATTGCAGGTGGCGGCTTTACCTGCCGTGCCACAACGTCAGCCCCAGGAGAAAATATTTGAGGAATATACATCTGATAAAGAACTTGTACTCAGAATATGTTAAGAACTCTTATAAAAGTCAATAATAAAACAAAAACAATTGAATGATTTTAAGAAGTGGAAAAGAGATGTTTCCAAAGAAGATATCACTGTTAAATAAGTACTTGAAAAGATGGTCAAGATCATCAGTTATAGAAATCCCAATTAAGGGGCTGGCACTGTGGTGCTGCGGGTAAAAGCCCCAGCCTGAAGTGCCAGCATCCCACATGGGTGCAGGTTCTAGTCCTGGCTGCTCCTCTTCCGATCCAGCTCTCTGTTATGGCCTGGGATAGTAGTAGGTGATGGCCTAAGTCCTTTGGCCCCTACACCCATGTGGGAGACACAGAAGAAGCTCCTGGCTCCTGGCTTTGGATTGGCACAGCTCTGGCCATTGCAGTCATCTAGGGAGTGAACTAGTGGATGGAAGACCTCTCTCTCTGTCTCTACCTCTCTCTGTAACTCTGTCTTTCAAATAAATAAAATTAAAAAAAAAAAAATCCCAACTAAAATCACACAGAAATACCATTACATAACCACTAGTGTGACTAAAAATAAAAAACTGGTAATGTTAAATATTGGTGAGGATATGGAGCAACCAGAAATTTTACACATTGCTGATGTATGTCTATGTGTTCAGATGTTTAAAGCAAATGCTCATGTTTCACATGCAAAGGAATATGTCTAGAATTCCAAAAGCTGGGATCTATTTCCATGATATCTTTACTTTCTCTGAAAACCAACTTGAATGAATGATATTATATGTCCTCAATACTCTGAACAAATTGGTATGAAAAATAGTTGTATGTTGAAAAGAGGTGCTTTAAAAAATAAGTTACCTTACTGATATATATATATATATGTATATGTATATGTATATATATGAACACAGATAGGGATTAGATTTTTAATTCTTTAATTTTGAGATTCTTAGTATTTCAAAAAAGTCAATATTATATTTAGCGCCAATTAGTTCAATGAAATTACATACTTGTTTGAGATATTAATAGTTCTACTTTATTCCTTAAGCATATGTTCAGAAATACTTTGTATCTGTGGGTGGACTGGATGTATTGTCTCAAGTTCTTGTGCGACTGGAATCTGATTCACATGAGACTGCTTCCTGTGCTAACCTTGCAGTGGTGGTGACAAAAACATTGGATGCATGTATTGCTGACAATCGTAAGTGAAAAAGCTTAGTAATTTTTCTACAATTGAATTTTGTTTAAAATTATGGTGAATGAAGAAATAATAGATTTTTAAAAAAGATTTATTTATTTATTTGAAAGAAACAGAAGGAAGGAAAAAGAGAAAGAGAAGATGGACTTATTGATCTTGCATCCTCTGTTTCACTTCCCAAATGGCTACAGTGGCCACGGTTGGGCCAAGCCGAAGCTAGGAACTTCTTCCACGTCTCCCACGTGGGTTCAGAGGCCCAAGTACTTGGGCCATCTTCCTCTGCTCTCCCAGCATTAGTAGGGAACTAGATCAGAAATCAAGCAGCCCGGACTTGAACCAGAGTCCATATGGAATGCCAGCACTACAAGTGAAGGTTAACCTTTTGTGCCACAGCACTGGCCTTGAAATGGTAGATTGAACACTAACATGAATTAGACTTCTAGTTTCTCATAAATGGGAAGGAATTTTAGAAGTTACAAAGCTTGACTCTTTATTTCCATGGAGATCATGACTTCCTTAAGAACTCAAATCTAACTCTTCTGACTTTACAAGTCAGATGATAGAATCAAAATAAGATTTTTATCATCATTTCCAAACCTTTATGTTACTTAAAGAGCAGCATTAAATGAAAAATTTTGGATTTGAAATCAAGAGATATTTTAGAAGCATAAGATGGAAAATCCAGTTTGCAGATTTTAAAGAATTATTTAAAGAATTAAAGTATGCCTCTTTCTGGTAAGTAAGGGTGTGAATTACCCAGTGCACTATAATAAATGAGCAGCAGAACCATACTTGAACCCATGACTGCTTCTCACATGTACAAACGCTGAAGAATGATAATCTATAAATCTCTGGAATAAGAAACTCTATTGGTATTCATAAAAATAATTGGGACAAAAGTAGATGATTTTTGAAAAACAGTTAAAGAAGACTTGCTATGTGCTAAGCTCTAGAAATACAAAAATGATTAAGATATTGTCCCTTGAGGAATTTACAACTTTATTGTTGACTTCAATCTTGGGCTCTGGGTGAACTTTGGAGAAGTTTAGCTTAAAATGATGGACTTCTTGAATTTCGTCACATAGCATAGATTCAGATATGTTTCATTGAATAATTAACATTAGTAAATCCTTGGTCAGTTAATGTATTTTAGTGTTAGGCAGCTATTGATCATAGAGGAAAGCATTTACTGTAAAGTCCAGGTAAGAAAAGGAATACAAGGAGGGTGGTATAACCATATTCAACTTTAGAAAGGTAGAAAGGTGGTAGTATTTCATAGTCACAAAATTATGCAAAATAATTCAGAGGGATTAATGAGGTTACTGTAATAAGTCATCAACTTATTACAATTGTTTTTGTATTCACACATGTATATTATATGTTATGTGATACATGTTTATTGGATGTTATATATAATATAATAATCTCTTTGGGTATATAATCTCTTTGGATAAACTTAAAAATAGAGTATATGTATATTTATGCTTTAAATTTGTACTTATTCTCTTTTTCCCTCTATATTAATAGCTACTTTTGGGATAGTATTATCCAAGTACCACATTGTTTCGAAACTTCTCGCATTACTGCTTCATGAAAGTCTGGATTCAGAAGAAAAATGTAGCATCATACTTACTCTTGGTTATTGCACAGAGGATTGTGGTAAATAAGCATTGGATTTATTTGGTGCGCTTATTAAGACAGTGGAGTATAAATATACATTTGCCCCCCCCCACCCCAATCATTTAGGCCCAAAACCAATCATCTTAGCTCCTTATCCTCTTTCACACATTTTATTCAGTCACTAAGATTTGTGGCTATGCTTCTGTTTATCCCTCCTTATTCCTTTCTCCCCAGTTCTCAGTTTTGGCCCTCTACTCTTCAATATTTTTCACCAACTATTGCAGGAGCTTCCTCCCTAGGGTCCTTCCTTCTATCTCTATTTTCCAGTTCTTACTTCACATTGCTGTACACATCTGATTCTTTTCTCCCTTGCTAAAAACTTTCAGAGGCTCTCCCTCTACCTGGTACTCCCTCCTCTCTATTGTCTTTCTCCTCCCTGCTCCATGTTCCTTGTTTACTTTCCTCCCACTCTTCCTCTGTCCAGTCTGCTCATTCTTGCCACCTCCACTTTCTCCTCTCTTTCCAGTCTCCTCCTCTCCTTACTTCCTCTGCTTTTCTATTCCTCTCCCTTTGTTTTCTTGCTTCTTCCAGGCACTTTTCCTTCCTTCATTTTCTATTCTCTATATCAGTTTCTCTATTGTTGCTCTCTGTGCAATTTAGGATTGACTTTCTTGTTTTTTAAACCAAGTAAGGGCAGTCTGTCTGCTGTTATGACACTATTTGGCAGCATTTCAGAGATCATCATTTTTGAGACTTAAGTATTTTGTATAAGTGGTTTTCTATATCGAAAAGATTTTAAAAATTATGTTTTTCTTTATTTAAAAAATTTACCTATGTTTATAATTATCACAAGGAAGAACTATGACCTAATTAATATAATTTATGATAAAATAGATATCATCCACTTTAATTTTTTATGTTTTCCAGAGGAAAATCAGTATGACCTTTTAAAAAACAATGGGCTTCCACTCATAATGCGAGCCTTAAATGAATCTCAAAATGAGGAACTAAACAGAGCTGCTACTTTTGTGCTTTATAACTGCAAAAAACTTAGTAAGTTTACTGTTACTTTAAGAAAGTACCAACCCAAGTTTGTACAGGGGAACTTATATCATCTTAAAGAGCCAAGCCCTTTAAGTTCCTACGTTCTTCCCACATTTGAAAGGCAGAACATATGAGGGTCTTCAAAAAGCTCATGGAAAATGCATATTATTAAAAACCTTGCATGAATTTAAAAATATTTTGCTCCAAGATAAACTTATCTTTTAATTCCATCTCTTCGTGAACTTTTTGAAGTGCCCTTGTGTAGTTTGAACAAGACAGCCAGGGTATTTTCAGTAATACAAACCTGTGGAAGAGCACATATAAAGAACAGCAGTTGAGATAAGTCACATGTTTTGTGCCATGTTTGAAAATTTAGTTTGTACTTACATTTCAGAACTTAAATTTGAGGACTAGAGGTAATTTATTATTAAACTATAATATAAATTTATTTGTTTATTTTAAAAAGATTTTAGTTTCTTTTGTGTGCCAGGCACTGTCCTAGACATTGGGAATACAGTGATGAGAAAAAAACAGTCTGTGTATTCATAAAGCTTAGTTTAACTAGAGATAGTCATGGAATGCTCTTTAAGATCATGTGTTGTTGTAATTTTTAAAAATATTTTATTATTTACTTGAAAGGCAGAGCTACAGAGAGAGAGAGAGAGAGAGAGAATGGGGGGGGGGGCTTCCATCTGCTGGTTCACTCCCCAGATGGCCGCAATGGCCAGAGCTGCACTGATCCGAAGCCAGGAGCCAGGAGCCCCCTCCTAGTGTCCCACGTGGGTGCAGGATCCCAAACACTTGGGCCATCTTCTACTGCTTTCCCAGGCCATAGCAGAGAGCTAGATTGGAAGTGGCACAGCTGGGACTCAAACGGGCACCCATGTTGGATGCCAGCACTGCAGGTGGCGGCTTTAACCCGCTACGCCACAGTGCCAGCCCTGAGAAAGTGATTTTTGAGCAGAGATATGAATGCCTAAAGTTAACTAGATGAGAGAAGGGATTTGTTGTGGGCCAGCATCTCCGGTATAAGCAACAGTGAGGCACAAAGGCCCTGTGGTAAGACGGAACTTGGTACATTGAAGAACTGATGGCCAGTGTGGCTGGAGCACAGAGAATGGTGGCTGTGGTAAAGGTTTTGATTTTTGTAAAAGAAAAATTGCAGCATAATATGGAAAAAAGGTATAAAAGATTATAAGAAGGAACTATTTTATGAACACTGTTTAAAAAAATAACTCCTCTAAAAGTAGTGTCCATGTAACTGAAGGTGTTTAGGTACCTGGCATAACACCTTCATTTTATTCTATTGTTCTGAAGAGTAAGGCCTAAGTTAGGAATGATTGGGTCCTGGGGCTCTGCCAAACACTCTTCCCATGTATTTTCAGTACTAGTTAAGCAGGTAAGGTAGTTTAGAAGGATAAAATTTAGAGAAGGGTTAGTTAGGGTAGGGTATTTAAAGTGTTAAAATAACATTTATGGTAATGGATAAACTCACCTTTTTTTCCCATATTACAAAGCTGAGAAATTATCTCTAAGTTTAGGAGACTATTCTTTTGATGAAAGTGAAGCAGAACAATTAAAGAATACAGATGTGAAAGAGAAGAATATTGAACCCTACTGGAAGAGAGCAAAGGAAATTCTTCAGAAACTAGAACACCTTGAAAAAAGAAACAATGAGGTTGGCTTTTTGTTTAAAAAAATAGAGCTTTTTTTCTACTACTTTTTTTGGTTAAGATTTGTTTATTTATTTATTTATTTTGAAAGTCAGCATTAGAGATACAGATGGAGAGATCACTCCCATCCGCTGATTTACTCCCCAAATGGCTACAACTTCTGGGGCTGGGAGGGCTGAAGTCAGGAGCTAAGAGCTTCATCTGGGTCTCCCATGTGGGTGCATGGGTTCAAGCACTTTGGCCATCTTGCACTGCTTTCCCCAGGCCACTAGCAGGGAGCTGGATTGGAACTGGAACAGCTGGGACACAAATGGGTATCCATGTGGGATGCCGACATTGAAGGCAGTGGCTTTACCTGTTATTCCCAGTGCTGCCTTATAGTTACTTTTTAACAGTAAAGGTTGGAGTATAAAAGAATTTTTCTGGGAAGGGTGCCTACTGCAGCAATTAATATACTGCTTGGGACAGATGCCTGCACCCACATCAGAGTGCCAGGTTTGAGTACTGGCTCACCTTTTGATTCGAGCTTCCTATTAATATGCACCCTGGGAGTCATCAGATGGTGGCTCAAGTAATTAGGTCCCTGCTACCCATATGGGAGACCCAGACTGAGTTCCAGGCTCCTAGCTTTACCCTGGCCCAGTCCTGGCTGTTGTGGGCGTTTAGGGAGTGAACCAGTAGATGGAAGATCAATCTCAATCTCAATCTCTCGTTCTCATTCTCCCTCCCTCCCTCTGTCTTTCTGCCTTTCAGATAAATAAAATACATTTAAAAAGCATTTTTCTTATGCTATTTTAAAAAAAATTAATAGTTTAAATATTTACAATTGTATTTTAATTTTTATTTATTTAGACAGAAATCTCCCATCTGCTAGTACCCTCTCCAAATGCCCTTAACAGCTAGAGCTGGATCAGGCCAAAGTTCAGATCTAGGCACTCAATCCGAGTCTCTCATATGTGTAGCAGGGAACTGACTATTCGAGCCACCCAGGGTTCACATTGGAATTGGGAGCAGAGCCAGGTCTTAAACCCAGGCACTCTGACATGGGATGCAGTTGTCCCAGGTGGCATTTTAACTGCTATGCCAAAATATCTACCCCTAGTTTGAGGCTTTTATCCTGAGAATTTAATTTATATGGTCACTCAATTTAATATAATTACTAGTGTGTTTGAGTTCAAGTCTATCACATTGCAATTTGTTTTCTACTGTCTCATTTGTTTTGTATTCCTTCTTTATTTGCCTACGTATGTCACCCTTTTTGTTTTTTGTTCTTTTTTTTTTTGTTCTTTTTTTTTTTTTTTTTTTTTTTTTTTTTGACAGGCAGAGTTAGACAATGTGAGAGAGACACAGAGAGAAAGGTCTTCCTTTGCCCTTGGTTCACCCCCCAAGTGGCCGCTACGGCCAGCATGTTGCGGCCGGCACGCTGCACCGATCCGAAGCCAGGAGCCAGGTGCTTCCTCCTGGTCTCCCATGCGGGTGCAGGGCCCAAGCACTTGGGCCATCCTCCACTGCACTCCCGGGACACAGCAGAGAGCTGGCCTGGAAGAGGGGCAACCAGGACAGAATCCGGCGCCCCAACCGGGACTAGAACCCGGTGTGCCAGCGCCGCAAGGCGGAGGATTAGCCTAGTGAGCCGCAGCGCCGGCCACCTTTTTTGTTTTTAAATATTCCATTATATCACATCTTGGCTTATTAGCTAGAATTTTTACATTTTTAGTGGTTGTTTAGGGTTTACAATATGCTACATAAATTTATCATGGTCTATGGAGAGTATTTCGAAACATTTATGGAAAAATGGATAAATTAGTTTTGGTACAAAATTTATTTAAAATTCATGCATAATTTTTTCAAGATATGCATTTTCTATGACTTTTTAAAAAGTTATCTCATATATTCAGATAATACTATTTGATTTCATGTATAAGACTCCTAAAATAATATGCTCACATTTCACTTTGTTCTTCATACTAACAGTTTGTACTAGGGGCTGGTACTGTGGTGTAACAGGTTAAGCTGCTATCTGCAGTGCCAGGGTGCCAGTTTGTGTCCTGGCTGCTCCATTTCCAATCTAGCTCCCTCCTAATGTGCCTGGGAAAGCAGCAAACGATGGCTCAAGTGCTTGAGCCTCTATACCCACATGGGAGACTGGGGTGAAGCCCCTGGTTCCTGGATTCGGCCTGGCACAGCACTGGTTGTTGCGACCGTCTGGGGAATGAGCCAACAGATGCAAGATCTTGCTCATCTCTCTCTGTCTCTTCCTCTCTCTCTTTCAGTAAATGAATACATCTCTAAAAACAAACAAACAAACAAAAACTTCTTTCTAATTTAATTGTCTTTTAAGTAGAAGCTGATCTTTCTTTTTAAAAAATATTTAATTATTTATTTGAAAGGCAGTCTTGACAGGGAAGGAGGAAGAGACACTTCTGTCTGCTGATTCACTCCCCAAATTGCTGCAATGGCTGGGGTGAGACCTGGGCTAGGTGGAAGTCAGGAGCTGAGAATTCCATCTGGGTCTCCCACATGGTGATAGGGGCCCAAGTACTTGGGCCATCTTCTGCTGCTTTCTCAGGCTGGTGAGCAGGGAGCTGGATTAGAAGAAGAGCGTCTAAGATTCCAACTGGCACTCCCATATGGAATGCTGGCATCATAAGCGGCAGCTTAAACTGCTGTGTCACAAGGCTGACCACCCCCTTCCTGTTTTTAACTCTACTTTTACCTCACATTCTAGAGTTTCTCTTTTCTTTTTTAATTTATTCACTTATTTTTTAAATTAAAAAATATTTATTTGAAAAGCAAAGACACACACACACACACACACACGCACACACATACAGACATACAGACATACAGACAGGGGTCTTCCATCTTCTGGTTCACTCTCCAAATGGCTGCAATGATTGGGGCTGGGCCAGGCGGAAGCCAGGAGTCCATTTCTTCATCCAGGTGTCCAGCATCCAACCCATTTCTCCATCCAGTATCCAGGTGGATGGCAGGTTTCCAGGTACTTGAGCCATCTCCTACCTCTCAGGGTGTGCATGAGTAGGAAGCTGGATCAGAAGCAGAGAAGCGGGGATTGAACCACACAGTCTAATGAGGGGTATGGCTATCTTAGGCAGTGTCTTTGCTGTACCAAAGGTCTGCCCCAAGTGTTTTTTTTTTTTTTTAAGTTTCTTTATTTTATTTATTTATTATTTGAGAAGCCTGGAAACAGAGAAACAGCATGCACGTGGGCTCTCCCGACTGCTTTCACTTCCCAGATTCCCAAAATGCCTAGGGGTGGGCCAGGCTGAAGATGGGAGCTTGGAGCTCAATCCAAGTTTCCCAGGTGGCAGGAACACAATTACATGGGTCAACAATGCTCCCTGCACGGGTGAGCATTAGCCCGAATAAGGAGACAAAGGCAGGTATTGAACCCAGGTACTCTGATATGGAACATGGGCATCTTTATTTTTTTTTAAAGATTTTATTTTATTTATTTGAGAGGTAGAGTTACAGACAGTGAGATGGAAGACAGAGAGAAAGGTCTTCCTTCCACTGGTTCACTCCCCAAATAGCTGCAACGGCCAGAGCTGCTCCAATCTGAAGCCAGGAGCTTCTACCAGGTCTCCCATGCAGGTGTACGGGCCCAAGTGCTTGGGCCATCTTCTACTGCTTTCCCATATTCTGCTGCTTTCCCATCTTCTGCTGATTTCCCAGGCCATAGTAGAGAGCTGGATTGGAAGAGGAGCAGCCAGGACTAGAACTGGTGCCCATATGGGATGCCAGCACCTGAGGCAGACGATTAACCCACTTTGCCACAGCACTGGCCCCTAAACATGGGCATCTTAACTAGCATTTTATCTGCAAGGCCAAACACCCACCCCTAGAGTTTCTTGGTAACTCCCATTCCTAAGCCTTTTGAAGATTTGGCAATAAGTCTTTTTTTGATGAAGATTTATTTATTTGAAAGGCAGAGAAAAAGAGAGATTTGGCAGTACCTCTTAAGTGCTTGGATTTTCCCAGTGTCAGCTTTGGATTGTGCTTTCCCAAGTCTGTTAAGTAGGTTGTCATCATTCACCTATCTTCTTTTTAGTCTTGAAAATTTTGTTGCCTTTGTTTCTTCTTCCATTTCCCCTTGTTCTTGTGGGTTTATACCTTTCTAAAAACTGTTGTTTTAGTCAGTTTTTGGAAGTACCAAAATTAAGTATGGGTGTTTAATTCATTATATTTTTTAAAGATTTATTTATTTATTCGACAGGGAGAGAGAGAGAGAGAGAGAGGTCTTCCTTTCATTGGTTCACCCCCTAAATGGCTGCCACGGCTGGTGCTGCGCCAATCCGAAGCCAGGAACTAGGTGCCTCCTCCTGGTCTCCCATGTGGGTGCAGGGGCCCAAGCACTTGGGCCATCCTCCACTGCCCTCCTGGGCCACAGCAGAGAGCTGGACTGGAAGAGGAGCAACTGGGACTAGAACCCAGTGCCTATATGGGATGCTGGTGCCGCAGGTGGAGGATTAGCCAAGTGAGCCATGGCGCTGGGCCCCTAATTCATTATATTTACCTGGAAATTATCCTTATCCTTTTCTTTCCTTTTACTTTATTTGAGAGATGGGGGTGAGGGGAGAGAGTGAGTTGTGTGTATGTATGTGTGTGTGTCTGTATGTGCACCTGTGTGCCTGCAATGACCCCGGGGCTAAAGCTGGGAACCAGGAACTCAATCCAGGTTTCCCACATGGGTGACAGGTACCCAGTCATCTAAACCATCACTGGTGCCTCCCAGAGTTTGCACTAGCAGGAAGCTGAATTCAGGAGCTGAAGTGTGGTGTTAAGCCCATGTAGGACCCAGGCATCTTAATTGCTGGACTGAACCTCTGCCCCCTGTTCGTTTTTATAGTTGCAAAGTCTTCCACTGATTGTATATCCTAGCTCCTTTTCTGATAAATGAAAGGTTATTACTAACTTTTAGTGTTACAAATAATGTTTCAGGTAACATTAACATTGTACACATGTAAAAGTAATTATAGATTTTTATACAGATATGCAGTTTTTATTATGAAAGATATTGTCAGATTATTTTCCATTTACACTCCTACCAGTAATGTTTGATAGTTTGTTCCCTTCTGATCTTTGCCAGTGTGTTGAGAAAAGTATTTCAATGTAGCTTTAATATAAATTTCTCTTATTATGAGAGGGGTGAAACCTTTTTTTTATGTTTAGGAGCTATATGTATTTCCTTTCCAATGAATTATCTGTTTATCTCCTTTGTCTACTTTCTACAATACTACTTGTCTTTCTTATATTTGATTGTAGTAACTTTTTATAAATGTCACTTTAAAAATTATCCTGTTCTCTAGATATGCATTATATATATATAACTTTCAGATGTTTTGTTTGTCATTTAGTTTTACTTCTAGACCCTTTTTTTCTGAGTTCCCTTTACTTCAGCAATCTTGGTCTCTAGCAGAAGTTTGAAAAAAATTTGTATGTGGTTAAGAATATTTGTTTTCTAATTTTATGATTTATTGTTTTTACATAATACTTGGAAAGGTCTTCCACTCCTTGAGAATATTAAAATACCATGGTTTCTTTTAGGATGTATATAATTCAATTTTTATACTTAAATATTTGGTTCATTTTGACTTCACCTTTGTGTAAATTGTGAGATATTCAACCATTTTTTCCTTAGATGGCTACCCAATTGTTCTAATATCATTTATTGAATAAACTCACTTTTATTTCTTAATATGAACTGTCCTTTTTATATCTTCTACTGACAATCATAAACTCCTGCATGATTTAAAGAAAGTGTAAAGTGAATTATAAACAAATGGATTATATTGAAATTATTTATTGATTTTCATTTTTACATCACAGGAAAAAATACAAAGAGAAAAATATAAGGATAATATGAACATAAGTGTTCAGAATACATTGAAACATCTCCATGTGGATAGTGTTGGTGGAAGAACCAAAGCAGAAGATAAGAATAAAAGTCAGTCCAGAGAACTTCAGAGTTGCATGCCCCATGGAGTCATCTCTAAAGCACATGGAAATGATGATCAAATGAAGACCCTGGTAACGAGTACAAATCCAGTTAATGCTTGTTACAGGGAGAGTGGGCAAAATCAGACTTTACATAAAGCCAATTCATGCTGCAATCAAACCTTACCTGAAGAAACAGCTTTCAAAAAAAAGAGTTTTGTCTCTCAATCAAGGTATAGTTTAATAATTCTAACTTTTATTTATTTTAGCAAGCATTTCTTGTGCAGTACTGTGTGCCACACTGTTAGGTACAGGAGATACAGATATGTTAAAACAAGGTCTTAGGAGGAGCCTAAAATAGGAAATATTGGAAAAGGAGTTTGGGTATGGAGGTAAGGACCAGTTCATATAGGGCCTGCATGTCATACTCAGGATTATTGCTTTGGATTCACAGAATACAGGCAGCCAATGAGGATTTTTAAGTTGATTGACATAATCAAATTTGAATTTTAGAAAGGATACTCAGGAAAGAAAACCTAAACTGAAACCCTCTACCTGATGTGACAATACATGCGCTGATAATCCATCAGCAGTTTAGCAAAGACTGAGGTGTAAGTTTACCATGATAAAGGGAATAGGGTATGATGTCAGTCTGGTTTGGACTTGCCTTTTTGTTTGTTCTCTGTTCTTAGTCTGGTACATATCCCTTCTCTCTCCTGTAGCCTGTGGGACTGGCCCCGCTGCTGTAACTTTTCTTTTTTTATTATTATTATTTTTTTTTTGACAGGCAGAGTGGACAGTGAGAGAAAGAGACAGAAAGGTCTTCCTTTGCCATTGGTTCACCCTCCAATGGCCGTGCACCCTCCGTGCACCGTGCTGATTGCTGATCCGATGGCAGGAGCCAGGTACTTATCCTGGTCTCCCATGGGGTGCAGGGCCAAAGCACTTGGGCCATCCTCCACTGCACTCCCTGGCCACAGCAGAGAGCTGGCCTGGAAGAGGGGTAACCAGGACAGAATCCGGCGCCCGGCCCGGGACTAGAACCCGGTGTGCTGACGCCGCAAGGCGGAGGATTAGCCTAGTGAGCCATGGCGCTGGCTTGCTGTAGCTTTTCTTGAACTCTTTTCTGTATTGTGTTTTTTTTTTTTTTATTTTTAAAAAGATTTATTTTATTTATTTGAAAGACAGAGTTAGAGAGGGGAAGAGACAGAGAGAGAGGTCTTCCATCTGTTGGTTCACTCCCCAAATGGCCGCAACAGCCAGAGCTGCGCCAGTCCGAAGCCATGAGCCAGGAGCTTCTTCCAGGTCTCCTACAAGGGTACAGGGGCCCAAGGACTTGTGCCATCTTCTACTGCTTTCCCAGGCCATAGCAGAGGGCTGAATTGGAAGAGAGCAGCCAGGACTCCAACCAGCACCCATATGGAATGCCAGCACTGCTATGGCTTTACCAGCCATGCCATAGCAGCAGCCCCTGAATTTCTTTTAAATGCCTTTTTTCTCCTATACAGTACCTCCCAAATATATGTACATGGACAGATGTCTATGGCTATTGTTACTGCTGTCTGTTTTCTGGTCTATAGCTTTTGCCTTTTTCTGCACTATATATTACCATTTTGACAGTATAATAAAAACACATTGGGCCGGCGCCGTGGCTCAATAGGCTAATCCTCTCCCTTGCGGCGCCGGCACACCGGGTTCTAGTCCCAGTTGGGGCGCCGGATTCTGTCCTGGTTGCCCCTCTTCCAGGCCAGCTCTCTGCTGTGGCCCGGGAGTGCAGTGGAGGATGGCCCAAGTACTTGGGCCCTGCACCCCATGGGAGACCAGGAGAAGCACCTGGCTCCTGCCATTGGATCAGCGTGGTGCACCAGCCGCAGCACGCTAGCCATGGCGGCCATTGGAGGGTGAACCAACAGCAAAAGGAAGACCTTTCTCTCTGTCTCTGTCTCTCACTGTCCACTCTGCCTGTCAAAAACACACACACACACACACACACACACATTAATTCATCAAGGACCACAGGGTGGGGGCCAGCATTGTGGCACAGCAGATTAAGCTGCTGCCTATGATGCAGCATCCATGTGGTCAGTGGTTTGAGTCCCAGCTGCTCTGCTTCAAATCCAGCTCCCTGCTACTGTGCCTGGGAAAGCAGCAGAAGATGGTCAAAACACTTGGGCCCCTGCCACCTGAGTAGGAGACCTGGTTGGAGTTTCAGGCTCCTGACTTCAGCCTGGCCCAGCCCCAGCCATTGCAGCATTTGGGGAGTGAACCAGAGAATGGAAGATCTCCCTGTTTCTTCTCTTTTTTATAACTCTGCCTTTCAGATAAATGAAATAAATCTTAGGTTAAAAAAAAAAGAATCATAGGGTTCTGGCACATGTAAGTGTTTAGTTTCCAGAAGGATTTTTTAAAAAGATTTACTTTATTTATTTGAAAGGCAGAGTTACAGAGAGAGGTTGAGACAGGGAGAGAGTCCTCCCTACACTGGTTCCCCAGATGGCCACAATGACCAGGGTTGGGCCAGGCCTAAGCCAGGAGCCAGGAGCTTCTTCCAGGTCTCCCATGTTTATACAGGGGCCACACACTTGGGTCATCTTCTGTTGCTTTCCCAGGAGCATTAGCAGGAAGCTGGAGCACAAGTGGAACAGCCGGGACTCAATTGGTACTCAAATGTCTTGCGAGTATCCCAGGCTGCACCTAACGCTCGCCCTGCCATTCTACTCTTTCGGAAACATTTGTCCACATACAAATCATTATATTTACTTTTAGTAACCTAGTGTCTATTTTCTTTTAGTGACCAAGTTTTTAAGCATCCAGCTCACATTATCAAAAATAGGAAGCAGCCGTTAACAGTTACAGGTATGATTTAAAATGTTTATTTTTGATTTTTCAAAAAAACAGATTTAGGTGATTGACACACAAAAAATGTATACATTGGTATATCTTTCCTCCAAGGTATAAGTCACATCTTGACCCTTTTTCTGGTGTAAATGTCTCAGTCAGTTTTTATTGGTATTCAGAATCTTTCTTAATTTCCAGGATGACTGGATGTGAAGTAATGAGATAAAATTTATGAAAATCTTGATACTTAATAAATCTTATAAATGTCAGATCTTTTTCATTAATCCAAGAAATCTTGAATTTTGTGATTTTTTACAGATCCATTTACATTATGTTCAGATATAATAAATAAAGAAGTCATCAGTTTTCTAGAAACTGACAGTTCTTCTAAAACGTTGAAATATAGGTGCTCAGGTAAACATTTTTTAACTGCTATTATTTTATAATTAAAACTTTATCTTAGTTAACTTGAATTTATAATAGTTATGCCTGTGTGATTTAAACTTAATTTCCTTTGGAGAGGCAACAATCTGGGACTTCAAATATTAAATGAATACCTTTTGCATCAGGCTGAGCTCCCAATATTTATCGGAATCAGCAGCTAATACCTTTATTACTTTATTCTTTTTGTCATTTTATTCCCTTATTGTCACAATACCATCTATAAATTTAACTTTATGTTTTCAAAGGGGAACTCAATAGGCATGTGTTCTGCATTACTCTCTAAACATAGGCATTAAGTATTCATACCTACTATTTTTAATATTTATAATATGTAAGTGTTTTTAGTGTTCTATGCCTCATTATTTTTTCTCCAAGGCTCTTCTAAACATTCCACAGTAATTATTCCATCTCTTTTCCTCCTCCTTCACACCCTGGTATTTCCTCCTTGTTCAGTCTTGCTCCATGGAGAAAACTGAAGTTACTCTGTGTTTAGCTCAAAATGTTACTGTTCTTCTCTTTTGGATGAAGATATTATTTTGTTATTCTAAAGCTGATGTCTGGCTATATATAATATGAATACCATCTTTTCCCCCTCAATTTTGATAATTGCAAAATCTTTTCAGTCCCTTTCTAGCTATTCTTTTATCTCACCTTAAACTATGCTTATTATTCCTCATCTTAAAAAAATCCCAATACATTGTATGATTTACTAACCCTTTAAGTATTCGTCCATTCTTGTATTGCCAGATACCTCTCTTGCTCTCTTCATTTTCTTTCTTTCCTTTTTTTTTTTAAAAAAGATTTATTTATTTATTTATTTATTTATTTATTTATTTGAAAGTTAGAGTTACACAGAGAAAGGAGAGGCAGAGAGAGAGAGAGAGAGGTCTTTCATCTGCTGGTTCAGTCCCCAGATGGCCGCAACGGCCAGAGCTGCACCAATCCGAAGCCAGGAGCCAGGAGCTTCTTCTGGGTCTCCCATATAGGTGCTTTGGGGCATCTTCCTCTGCTTTCCCAGGCCATAGCAGATAGCTGGATGGGAAGTGGAGCAGCCAGGAGTTGAACTGGTGCCTATATGTGATGCCGGCACTGAAGGCAGTGGCCCTACCCACTACACCACAGCGCCGGCCCCCCAAATGGTGTGTTAACCACTGTACCAAAGACCCACCTGTCTTACCCACTTTCACATCTCTGCAATGAATGTTGACTGTCATTCCTTGAGATTCTTTCCTCAGAAGAGTGTAAATCCAGGAGCAGCACGTTAAAGCCCCAGCCTGCAGCACTGGCATCCCATATGGGCGCCAGTTCAAGTCCCGGCTGCTCCACTTCTGATCCAGCTCCCAGCTAATGTGCCTGGAAAGCAGAAAAAAGTGGCCCAAGTTCTTTGGCCCCTGCACCCATGTTGGAGATCCAGAAGAATCCTGGCTCCTGGCTCCTGGCTCCTGGCTCTGGATTAGCTCAGCTTCAGCTGTTGCGGCCATTTGGGGAGTGAACCAATGTATGGAAGACCTCTCTCCCTCTCTCTCTGTCTCTACCTCTCTCTGTAACTCTTTCAAATAAATAAAATAAATCTTTAAACAAAAAAAAAGTGTAAATCCATAGTTCCCAAACTGTCCACCCATGTTCCCTGGGGGTTTTGCAATCAACTCACAAGGGTACTACATAGTATTTTAAAATTTATATAGGAAATACAATAATAATAATATCTGTTGCATACTAAATGAACTACTACCTCATGTTTTGGCATTAGATTGTACTGTATTCCTTTTGATCTTGATGTCATATCTTTGTAAGGCTAGGTTTTCAGTGGTTGTGATAAAATGCCAGGCCTATGTGAAAATTAATGTGGAACAGAAAATGAAGGTGACAGTGTCCAGTTTGATTCTGAAGTTTGAGAAGTTGTTCTGTCTATAGTACACACATTCCATTAGGAAGTAAATATAAATATATTTGTAATTCATTACTTTCTTCCAATTTAATTATATATCTTTTTCAAATGACTAATGAGTTGTTAGAACATAAATGCTTACTAGGGGCTGACACCATGGCACAGCAGGTTAAAGCCCAGTCTGCAGCACCTGCATCCCATATGGGCTCCAGTTTGAATCCCAGCTACTCCACTTCCAATCCAGCTCCCTACTAATGTGCCTGGGAAAGTAGTGGAAGATGGCCCAAGTCCTTGGGCCCCTGCACCCACGTGGGAAACCTGGAAGAAGCTCCTGGATCTTGGCTTCAGATTGGCTCAGCTCCATTCATTGTGGCAATTTGGGGAGTGAACCAATGGATAGAAGATCACTCTTTCTCTGTCTCTACCTCTCTCTGTAACTCTTTCAAATAAATAAACAAAAATCTTTAAAAAAAAAAAAACTTTAATAAATAAATAAATAAATACTTACTAAGTTGCTTTCAACCTAACAGAATGATTAGGCATTTGTTTTGACCTGGTATGCTGTGAACCAAGAAACTCTAGGAGCCTTTAGTCAAAAGTATTCCAGTTGGCAGAGTGAATGTTCTGTAATTGTTAACCCCTGGTCACTTCTTAGTTTGTTTGAGATGGTTCTTTCCTAGTTTCTTTCTTTCCTAGAGATCACCCATTCATTTCACAAACATTATGGAGTATTTATTCTGTGGCAGGCATTGTGGTCAAAGATGAATAGAACTCAGCCCTCACTTTCTTTGCTTTGTTTTTCTCTTCCTACCACATTTCCGCAGGTATTTTCCCTGAGACATAGTCTCCAGCATTTATTCAATTCTGTCACTTCATTAACTTTTATATTGTTATTTGCCATTTTACTGATGATTTTAGAATCTGTGTCTCAAACATTTGGCTTCTACTTTGGCTATGTAGCTTTATTGTTCTACTTGCAGAACATGCTCACTGAAAATGTCTTCATGTTACTTTAAGCTAAACACAACATCCTTCTTCCTCTTAAATTGCTGTCTTCTATCAGTGTTGCCATTATGCTTCTGATCTCTCAGGTTTTAGACTTTAAGTCATCCATGACTATACTGTCTCATTACATTTCCTATCAAATATGATTTTTCTTTCTTTCCCAGATAGTCCCTTTTTGCTTCATACCTAAATTAGTGCACCCGCTTTCTAGCAGCCTTTCAGGTTCAAGTCTCTCCTACCCCCAACTATAGTATGCATATTGCTATTAACTTTTTAAAAATTTCTTAAAAAAAAAAAAAAAAGGAGATAAAGGTCTTCTATCCACTGGTTCACTCCCCAAATGGCCTCAGCAGCCAGGGCTGAGCCAGTCTGAAGCCAGGAGCTTTTTCCAGATCTCCAATGTGGGTGGAGGAGCCCTAGCACTTGGGCCATCTTCCACTGTTTTCCAGGCCACAAGCGGAGAGATGGATCAGAAGAGAAGAGGAGCAGTGGAGACAGGAACCAGTGCCCATATGGGATGCCGGCACTCCAGGTAGAGGCTTAGCCTACTATGCAACAGCACCAGCCCTTAAAATTTCTAAAAAATTTATTTATATGAGAGATAAGGAGAAAGACAAAGACACCCCCCCATCTGCTGATTCACAACCCAAATGTCCACAGTGCCCAGGGAGGGTCTAGGCCAAAGTCAGTTGCTGGGAACTCAATCGAAGTGTTCCACGTGGGTGATAGGAACCCAGTTATCTGAACCATCATCGTTGCCTTCCAGGACGTGCATTAGCAGGAAGCTGGAGCCAGGAGCCAGAGCCACTAGGCTAGATGCCTGTACTGACTTCTTTTCTTAATGTGTGCTTTTTATCCTGTTACCATGCTAAGGAATGCTAAATGTCTCCCTCTAAGTCACTGAAACAAACTTTCTGCCAAACTTTCAAAACCTTATGAAATTTTGTTTTGCTTTTACTAATTGGATATACTGCACATCTGCTCTCTTTAAGTTTGTCAAAAATGTGGTATGCTCATTCTAAACTTTGCCATTCGGTTACCAAATTACTTGAGAATCAGCCTAAAGTTTTCTATTAGCTCACTAGCTCATTATTATTAAATCCTGCCAATTTTACCTCAGAAATCTCTCCATTCTCCCTTAAAATACTTTATTTTAGAATCTCATTTGTTTTTTGGATTATTGAAGCCAACCTATGAACTGATCTCTTGCCTTCCACTGGCCTTTCTACAAAGACAAATGAAATCATGTTAGTAGTTCTCCATTGCCTTGAAAGGAGTTAAAAATTCCTTAACATGGCTTCTTGGTATGTCTCACTGCAACCCTTCCCAGCCTTAACTTTTCTCCCACACTCCTCTTTATGCCTTGTACTGTGGCCGATACCAGAGTACTTTTGATTTGATGATCACACTATGTTTTTTCACATTTTATGCTTTTGCACATGTTTATTATACCCCAAATATTTTCACCCTCATCAACTATTTGCCTGACTAAATTCTCCTGGTCCTTTAGGAATGAGCCACTAATATAATTGGGTAAGATGCTGACAGAGCACTTTTCCCCATATACTTAAAAGGTGGGGGTTAGGGAGAGAGTGTGAAGGATTGAGAGTGATTCATCTGGTTCACTTGTTCTTCAAATGCCTAAAACAGCCAAGGCTGGGCCAGACAGAAGCTAAGACCCTAAAACTCCCATGTGATGGCAGGGGTCCAAGAACATGAATCATCATCTGCTACCTCCCAGGATTAATTAGCAAGAAGCTGGATGGGAAGCAGGGTAGCCAGGACTCAAATTAGCACTTCCACATGAGATGTGGAGATCGGGAGAGGCACCTTACCCTGCTGTGCCACATGTCTTTCCCTGAAGGGGAACTTTATAATGAATGGTACTGTTGACATTATCCGAGCCTATTGTCTGTCTTAACATGTATAGAGAGATTTTGTTTCTTTGAATATACTGCAGTTTGAAGCACATAATAATACATATGAGGAGTTCTAGCAAATACGCTTCAACCCGAATCTGATCAGTAATCCACAAGTAGATCTAATTACTAGGGTACCCAAGAACATTTTAAATGATACAGTCAGCAAAACCCAGCATTTGGGAAATTGTAATTAAAATGGCCTAATGTCTTCAAAAAATAAATAGCAAGGAGGTAATAGAAGAAAGGTGATAAATTAAAAGCAACTCAGGAGACATATGCGCCAAATTTAACAATGGACCTTGTTTGAAGTGTGATTCAAGCAACCAAGAATAAGTTTTTGAAATTAAAGGGAAATTTGAAAGCTAGACATTAGATATATTAAGTATGGCTTTTTTAGCTGTATAATGGTTTTGAGTGATATTTCTTTTTCAGTCCTAATATATGAAGTATTTACAGATGAAATGATACTTTAAATTTTAGGCATGATAATTTAATCCCATATTGATGGGGACAAAACAGAGTAGGTGGGAGTGTAGATAAGATACAACTAGTTATTACTGGGGCTGGCGCTGTGATATAGTCTGTAAAGCACTATATCATATAGTATATATATAAAACACTGCAGTGCTGGCATCCCATATGGGCGCCAATTCTAGTCCCGGCTGCTCCACTGATGATCCAGCTCTCTGCTATGGCCTGGGAAAGCAGTAGAAGATGGCCCAAGTCCTTGGGCCCCTGCACCTGCATGGGAGACTAGGGGGTGCTCCTGGCTCCTGGCTTCAGATCAGTGCAGCTCCAGCCATTACAACCAGTTGGTGAGTGAACCAGCGGATGGAAGACCGCCCCCACCTCTCCTCTCTGTGTAACTCTGACTTTCAAATAAATCTTTTTTAAAAAGTAATTATTATTATTGCTGGTGGGTGGTAGATATATGTGGGTTCATCATATTCTTTCCTTGAATGTTGTATTTGAAAATTCCATAATAAAGTGTTAAGCAAACAAACAAAAACACCTCACATTGACCAGGTCTAAGAATCACCTCTCACCTCTTTTGAATATCTGCTGTCAATAGTGACTCCTGCTCAGAAAAAGACCAAGCCAGATGCTGCTTTTCTGTGTCACCATAACTGGGTTCATCCTTCTGTTCCAACATTAATTTCATTGTATTGTGTTTGTAGGACTTTGAATTTCTTTTTTAAGATTTTTTTATTTATTTGAAAGTCACAGTTACACAGAAAGAGGAGAGGCAGAGAGAGAGAGAGGTCTTCCATCTGCTGGTTCACTCCCCAATTGGCCGCAACGGCTGGAACTGCGCTGATCCAAAGTCGGGAGCCAGGAGCTTCTTCCAGGTCTCCCACGTGGGTGCAGGGACCCAAGGACTTGGGCCATCTTCTACTGCTTTCCTAGGCCATAGCAGAGAGCTGTATGGGAAGTGGAGCAGCCAGGACTAGAACCGGCGCCCATATGGAATGCCGGTGCTTCAGGCCAAGGCTTTAACCTGCTGCGCCACAGCACCAGCCCCAGGACTTTGAATTTCTTGAGATATTTGAGTTCCTTGTTTTACTTCAGTCATCATCATATAGATATTTGCTTTCATAAGTTTGTTATATTTTATAAAATCTATACATCAATTTAATTTGTTTTCTTTTAGGTTGCATAGCAGTAGGACAATCTCTGAATAGCCGAAATTTTAGCAACCTCTTGCACTCTTGCCCATACCAATGTGATCGTCACAAAGTCATTGTGGAAGTTGAAGACAGATATAAAAGTGAACTAAGGAAATCACTTATCTGTAACAAAAGTAATTAATTAGCACCTTTAAAGCTATAATTATGACTATACTTTCTGAACTATCATGTAAAGCATCAAGTATATTAAAAACTAGAGGGTAAAACACGTGGAAAAGAAAAGCTGTCTCTAAGTAACCAGTGATCTGAAGATGTACCCAGGGAATAGCCTTAGTCTCTGCTATTTTAAAAATTCTTCCTAATCTTGTAAGGATTCCCATTAGGAAGGGGAGAAAAGAAATATACTATTGGAATTGATATGCTATTACTCTGATTCATACACTAAGCATGATAAATGTTTTCCATATTTTGCAGAAATTCTGCTGACCCCACGTAGAAGACGACAGCTCAGTATTGAATCTACTACTCCTGGAGGAATAAGTGAATATATTTAATTTTTAAATAAACTTACATTTTATATGTTCCTAAGAATGAAGAGGACAGCTGAATGGTTGCTTTAAGTTGCATCATTAATGGCTCTTAATTGACAGTTCTTGAATCTGATGAGGGACAAAGAGACTTTCCTCTTCTTGTTGCTTGCTCACCCACTGCCTGCCAGCTGGGGAAGGAACAGAAGGAAATTAATATTCATTAAGTACCTGCTATGTGTTAGGTATTTTATAGACATTACTTCCTTTAATTTTTATAATACTGTAAGGTAAGTATTCTTTTATTACCATTTTAAGGCATAATGAGATGATAAACAGCAGAATTAAGAATTAAATGCAACCCTCTATCCAGAAGCCCTTGTTCTATCCTCCAGACCACATTTCTATTTTAAGAACACAAATATTTTCCTTGCACAAGTGCTTCAGAGACTTTGCAGAAGGTTTTATTCATAATTATCATGCTTCAGACAATCAAAATTGAAGAGGCAAATAGTATATAAATCTTAAAGCCTGCTTAAAAATCAAAATGCGTCTTCCTTGACTTATGGGCAATTTTATTTGACTACAGGGTTAACATTTCAGTTTTATCACCGTTCCAAATTTATCACAGATACTTAAAGATAATTTTCTTCTATTCCTTTGAAGTTAACCTGCGTAGTAAGAATAAGTCATTTAGTTCCTTAATGTCAAAATAATCTAGAAATTAATAACATGTATAGATCCACCATTATTTATTACAGAGACATTTGGACTTGGTATATCCAGGAAGCATTTTCCTACATATATTTATTTGGCTATTTTTTAAAGATTTATTTTATTTATTTGAAAGACAGTTACAATGAGAGGTAGAGACAGAGAGAGAGAGAGGTTTTCCATCCACTGGTTCACTCCCCAGATGGCTGCAACAGCCGGAGCTGCGCCGATCCGAAGCAAGGAGCCAGGAGCTTCTTCTGGGTCTCCCATGTGGGCCATCTACTGCTATCCCAGGCCATAGCGGAGAGCTGGATCAGAAGAGGAGCATCTAGGACTAGAACCGGCACCCATATGGGATGCTGTCACTTCAGGCCAGGGCTTTAACCTGCTGCGCCAGAGCGCTGGCCCCTGGCTATTTTTTCACTTGCAAAACTTTGAAAGAGATTTCAAATTTACTCTTTATATCTAGGTCTTTTTCTAGGTCAAATGGTCTGCTTACAAATCAATACTAAGTACCACTATGGAAAAACCCACTTTTTGAAGTAATATTTTCAGTAGAAAATGGGTATTTTTTCCATAGAAACATGTTGCACATGGAAATCTTGTTTTTGTCAAAGACTTGGCATTGAATTAGTAGTAAATATACTTTATGACAACGTGTCATAAAAACAGATATTTAGCAATTAAATATATTCTGTAATCTGTTTACATAAAATCACCTGCTAGCTTCATGAAATGGCCATAATGATGGTCACTCATTGGTTATACGGAAGGACCCTAAGAACTGGTAAGTGGTATTTAGCTCATAAATACCACACATATTTTTGACCAAATAGCTAATAACTTGGCTTGCTTTTTTAGAATATAGAAAGGAATTGTCAGAAAGTTAATGATTCCGGGCCAGCGCTGTGCTCACTAGGCTAATCCTCCGCCTGCGGCGGGGGCACCCCGGGTTCTAGTCCCGGTTGGGGCGCCGGTTCTGTCCTGGTTGCTCCTCTTCCAGTCCAGCTCTCTGCTGTGGCCCGGGAAGGCAGTGGAGGATAGCCCAAGTGCTTGGGGCCTGCACCTGCATGGGAGACCAGGAGGAAGCACCTGGCTCCTAGCTTCAGATCGGTGCAGCATGCCAGCTGTAGCGGCCATTTGGGGGGTGAACCAACAGAAGGAAGACCTTACTCTTTCTCTCTCTCTCTTTCTGTCTAACTCTGCCTGTCAAAAAAAAAAAAAAAAGTTAATGATTCCATTTGTCTTAAGTCTTTTTCACAAGCAGACTAGTAATATTTAGTATGTTGCCATTTTTTTCTGTCCCTCGATAAATTTCCCTTTCATATTGGGGCATTTATCACTAATTTTTTAAAAGTTTTTAAAAATTTATTTAAAAAGCAGAGTTACAGAGAGAAAGGGAGAGACAGAGAATTCTCCAGCCGCTGGTTTGTTCCCCAAAATGGCCACAATAGCTGGGGCTGTACCAAGCTGAAGCTAGGAGCCCAGATTTTTGTAGTGGTCTCCCATGTGGATGGCAAGGACCCAAGCACTTTGGCCATCTTCCACTGCTGTCCCAGGTGCATCAGCAGGAAGCTGGATCAGAAGTGGAGCAGCCAGGTCTCCAGTGGGCACTCCTGGGATGCTGGCATTGCAGGCATTGGCTTAACCTGTTAGCCACAAAGATTTGCTTACATTTAAATTTGCATCCATTGTTTTGGGAAGGGACTACCGCACTAAGCATTTAAGGATTTCCCCAAGGCTCTCCTTCAGGATCCACAGGTATCTAGAGAATGTTTGAAAATAAGAGTTTCTAGAATTAAGCCCTTTTGTCCAGTTTCCCCTGCTGTTGCCTAATGCTTGGCTGACGTTAAGAAGCAGCAGAGGAGATGGTTGGATTAGGGAGCTGCTTCCTCTTTCCAGGCTGCCCAGACTTTGCAGGAATATTTGTGGATTTGGACACAGATGTTAAGTGTAGGAGTCAGGGAAATGGTAGGCACAGTGGAAAGCTGGGCTTTACCTAAACTCCAGTGCCTCAGTGTTCCCAAAATTACAATAACCTATCTATTCCTGATTAAAGTGAGTTCAATTAATTGAGCAAATGAAACTGAAACCTGTTTCTGGATAACCACAGTTTTCCAGTAGACTTAAAAATAAGGATACTTTTATTGATGAATTTTGAGACAGTTTTATCAATAATACCTTTTTTCTCTCAGTATTTATTGATAACTGTCGCTCCCCCTCTTCGTGGAGGAACGACACAAGACCCTGCGCTGTTCTTTCGTCTGCTCGGCCCTCCCCGGGTTTGCTGCTGGTTCTTCCCGGGTTGGCTACTGTCCCTTCCACCTCCGTGGAAGGGCGGTTCCCCCTGGCCGCTTTCCCCACTTCCGCAGGGGAGCGGCACTCCGCCGGCCGGCTCTCTCGGGGGCTGCACAGGTGTTCCCCTTAGATGTTCCCCTTAGATGTTCCCGGTGCATGCCGTCTCTCTCCTCCTTTATAGTCCTCCTCTGCCAATCCCAACTCGGCTGCCCACACGCCGAGCACGCTGCTCTCCTCCAATCAGGAGCAAGTCCTACAGTTTATTGGCTGAACTGGAGGCAGCTGTGCAGAAGCTGTTTTCTTCTCTCCCAGCGCCATATTGTGGGAGAGCAGATGCATAGAATAAGTCTTAATTCCAGTAACAGTATAGTCCGAGTTGCTCCCCACAATAACTATCTATTATTTGTCAGATATTCTAGGTAC